CTAACCCTAACCCTAACCCTAACCCTAACCCTAACCCTAACCCTAACCCTAACCCTAACCCTAACCCTAACCCTAACCCTAACCCTAACCCTAACCCTAACCCTAACCCTAACCCTAACCCTAACCCTAACCCTAACCCTAACCCTAACCCTAACCCTAACCCTAACCCTAACCCTAACCCTAACCCTAACCCTAACCCTAACCCTAACCCTAACCCTAACCCTAACCCTAACCCTAACCCTAACCCTAACCCTAACCCTAACCCTAACCCTAACCCTAACCCTAACCCTAACCCTAACCCTAACCCTAACCCTAACCCTAACCCTAACCCTAACCCTAACCCTAACCCTAACCCTAACCCTAACCCTAACCCTAACCCTAACCCTAACCCTAACCCTAACCCTACGGATGACATAGTGCATGCAAACGGACATGCACTGCATGCTTTTTGCATGATTTGCTAGTTGACAAACACCCTGTCATATCCATATATTGCAATGCAAAAAGGCATTTGCCATCCTCCACCATCCGGAGGAGCAATGGAAGAAAGGAAAGTATGTGGGCCTCAAAAGGATTTGAACACGTAGCAAATTGAGAGCAAACCAAACTGAGTCACTTGCCAACTGCAGAACACCCCCATATTGCCCGGAAACAAAAAGTGCCAGGAGTTGATAAATACTAGAGTAGATGATGGTTCCTAGATGTTTTTGAGGATGTTTTCTGAGATATACTCCACTTTAAGCAAATTCCATCCACTCAGAGTTTCAGAAAATGCGTTTTGGTGACATTTTCATAGTAAAATATCTGAAAAACAGATTTTCCGGGAGCATTGAGTGGAAAACATGCCCCAAAGTTTTATGTACAGTACAGTAAGACGCCCCTGAACATTGCTAGCAACTTTATTTGACACTTTTTGGATGGCCAAAAATAACCCATAACCGGGAACAGTCCTGTAACCCTAACCCTAACCCTAACCCTAACCCTAACCCTAACCCTAACCCTAACCCTAACCCTAACCCTAACCCTAACCCTAACCCTAACCCTAACCCTAACCCTAACCCTAACCCTAACCCTAACCCTAACCCTAACCCTAACCCTAACCCTAAGTCCCTAGGGTTCCAGGCAACCCAATAATAAAACCCAACCCAGGGGGTCTTGTAACCCTAACCCTAACCCTAACCCTAACCCTAACCCTAAGTCTTGCCCGAATTCCGTAATTCAAGGATTGGTGTAAGGGGCAAATCGTCTGCCACGACCACCGCCATGACTACCTCGACCGCGGCTGGCTCCACGGCCGCCCCGAGCACTCGATGCCGAGGCAATCGGACGAGGCGTATTGGCTTGGTTGCCGTCAGTGAACCCGTGAGCCACATGAGCACGACGAGCTGCAGTGATAGCTTGATCGAGAGTGATAGGGGTATTGATATTGGTAGTGCCCGAGACTTCGAAGTTCGTAACGGCTTCAGCGAGATAATGACCGATTACCGTATTCTTGAGAAGACCGGCCTTGAAGTATCGAATTTGATCGATAAGGGAAATGGTGCCTTGAGTGTTATCGAGAGGATGAGCAGCTTCAAGCTCATTATTGGTGTCTTGAAACTCCTTGATATATTTCTCGAGAGAGTCGCCGAGCTGGAGACCGGAGAGCTTGAGCTCAATAGTATTACACAAATTGCGAGGATAAAAGTGAGCGGCAAGAGCCGTTTCAAAAGCTGTCCAACTTGCGGGTGGTCCAGCGGCGTAAGTCGTATTGTACCACTCGAGAGCAGTACCCTTGAGATAAGTAGTGAGTGTAGGGGCGTACTCTGCCATAGTAAAGGGTATGGCGTTGACAGCTCCAGTACCGTCTGATCCAGCTTGTACAGCCGGGACAGTGAGAGACTCGAGAAAATTGTGGTGAGACGGCGCGACCTCTTTGATCTTTTTGGCAGCTTTGGCGCCATCGTATTCGATGAGCTTGTTCTTGCAAGCGTCCATAAGAATTCTGAAACGTTTGGCTCGTTGGGTGTCTTGCGTAACAGCACGCTGCTGAGTAGCAAAAGCAGCTGCGACAGCCGCAACGGTAGCTTGAGTCTGTGCGTCCATTCTTGCTTGTGCACGAGTATAAGGGCGACGTCCGGTAGAGGGGCGACGTTGACGAGGAATGTCTTGGTGATGCTAGCGGTAGGTGGTGCTACCATGTAACGTCAGAGGAAAACGTAGACGATATTGGGCCCTTCTGAGAGGGCTGAGAGCAGTGTATTGTAGTGAAGTAAAAGGAAGAAGCTCTTCGCAGCGGCCGCTCGACTGACAGCTTTATATATGGGCTGCCAGTGGGGCTTGCGTGGCTTCAATGAAGATTGGCGCCTTATGTAATGTATCACCGAGAGCTCGGGTGGCCAGCCCGGGTCTCGGATCAAGTAGAAGTAAAGAGATATAATATGAAATACAAGTGAAGATGAGATATCCCCGACAGCTATGGGATTTTGTCGAAGTCCAAACTCTCTATTAAATGTCTCTAGAGGATTTAGCTACGTTGGGGTCTTTTTCTCTTTTCCTGCGGCGGTCTACATCGTTTTTCCTTTTTCCATTCACAATTTTGGCGCTGAAAACAGTCTTATCGCTAATCTTTTCTGGGGGTTTTCTGCAACGATCGGCGTACACGGCCACCGGAAATTGGTTTTCTCATTTCGCAGTTGAGTTCTTCAGTGTTTTGGACGTCGTTAAAGCTTCTGGTTGGTTCAGAGTCGGGTCGGTGGCGCTTTCATGTGTAAGATCCTCTCCTACGCCTACATTTTTCGCATGTCAGTTGTATCCGAGGACAATTGGTTTTCTCATTTCGCAGTTGAGTTCTTCAGTGTTTTGGACGTCGTTAAAGCTTCTGGTTGGTTCAGAGTCGGGTCGGTGGCGCTTTCATGTGTAAGATCCTCTCCTACGCCTACATTTTTCGCATGTCAGTTGTATCCGAGGACAAAACGTCGTTGTGAAGCAAGGTTTTGGTAAAGGTAGTTGTATTCAGTAATTGTCGGAGTGTCGGGAACGCGAGTGTGTTGATTTATCGTCGGAAGTTTTGATGGTTTTTGACGTTGTCATATAAAGGTGATTTCATTCGCTTGTCGAAGATTCTAGGCGTCCAATCGGAGTCGAAATATTCTCGATTTCATGCGCAGTTCGTAGCGCACTACTACAACGTTGAACGTAGTATGCGAGGACAAGGCACATCGGAAGGAGGGTCTCCGCAGCAAACATCGTGTGATTTCGCACATGACATACATGAAAACTACGACCTCAAAGCCGGCCCAGCCCCCACGCTCACGCCCTCTCTCCCTACCAAAATCCCCACCACGGGCATCGTCGTCTGCGGCGGCTGCGACACATACCGCCGCCGGGCGACATACTGTCCCAACCCCTTCTGCGGCAAAGAGAGTGCCGGCGCGCCCCATTGCCGTACTTCCCCGAGGAGATATTTGGCTTCCACTTTCTGTAAATATATGTCGTGTCGTGGAATAAAAAACATAGATCAGCATTTTGCTGGGTCCCCTCTCGAAGGACGCGTTTCCCATGACCCATACTTACCGGCGCGAACGGTAATGGGCCCGTCTGGCACGCAATCTCCCTCACTTTATCCTCTTCCCTCTTCCCATCCCGGACACTCTCCGTCTGCGGCAACGCAGCAATAACGGCGTCCAAGTTCCCCAGGCGCCGTTTCATGGGCGGCGAGTATGGGTGGAGATATGTTTTTCGCGGCGGATTTTGGTCGTGTTGTTGTTGTAAGGGGGATGTAATTGATGACGAGGGCCATTGAGTTGTGGTGGACGCCGCGGGCGGACGGGAAGCGTCGGTTGGTGGGCCTTTTGGAGGGAATGAGTAGAGTGAGCCTCGTTCAATCGAAAGGCTCTACCCCCTGCCCTTCCTCTTCCTCTTCACGGCATCGTACGTTACCTGCGTCCCGCTCGCCATCACTATTCGCCTCGCGTGTGTTCTACAACGCATCCCAAAGGAAAACCTGCGTTAACCCATAGATCAAAGAGCAGAGATTGCGGAAAGGATAAGCCTACGGTACCTCCTGGTTAACCATATGCGCCACCTGCAGCATGCTCGAATGCAATCTTAAAAGCGTCATTTGCGTCAAGTCTTCGCACACGATCCATATTTATGGTATTTAAACATACCGGTCGATAAACCGCCCCAAATCGCCCAACGCATCCAACTGCGACGCGCCCGCACCTCGTCCGTCTCCTTCTTTCTTGTCCCCTGCATCAACACTCTCTTGACTCTCCCGTCGTCCATCGCCTGCGTCGGCTCCATCGCCGCCGCCACGAGCACTTATCTCCAACTCTTCCCAATACGCCGCCATCTCGTCAAAACATTTGAAGGATTGCATGATTTGCTGGAGTAGCGCTGGGGACGGGCGGGGATGTTGTTGGGCGTCTGATTCCGCCAACTGTAGGGAAACATGCGTCAGCAATACACCTACGCCAATAAAACGCAATCGCATCTCAGAACTTACAGACTCATCAGACCCCTCCGGCGTCTCCTCATCCGCCGGACCCTCATAGAACCGGTCAGAGTAGCGTTGCTGGCTGTGTGTATCAGTGTCGGCGTCCGCGGCGAGGTGCGCGGTGTCGTAGGCGAGGGCGACCATTTGGTCCGTCTCTACAAATCAGAATGACGGGTTACATGCCCCGTTGCCTCCTCCACAAAAACCCAGGCGCATATCATGATAACACACACCCTTCAACTTCCCCACAACCTCCCTCAACACCCTCTGCAGCGTGACATTCTTCTTCGCCAAGCTTTTCTCGCTCTCGACCAACAAGGCGTTGTTAGTACGTAACCGCGCTACTTTTTGTTTCAGAGTGTCGTTTTCGGAGATCAGCTCGGTGGTTTTTAGGGACATTTTTTGCAGTTGGGTGGTTATCATTGTGTTTTCGCGGATGGCGCGTTTCGTCGTCTGTGTGGGTGAAGTCAGAGGTTAGGCGGTGAGACATCATTCGAGAACACTCCACAGGCATATCAGAAGAGGGCGGCGGAAGTACGTCAACGCTTCCCGCACCTCCCCCCGACTTCACGGCGGCCACCTCACCTCAGCCATCTGCTGATCGGCAACCCTTTGAAAATGCGCCACAGTCTCGTTGACCTTCTGCAGCATATCCCGCTTCAGCAGGTTCTTGTCCTGCAGCACTTTACGCTCGATGTTGTGGATCGTGTCTTTATACGTGCGTTCTTTCGTCTCCAGTTGCGTCCGGAGGGTGCGGAGGGCTGTTTCTAGGTCCGTCTGTGTCGGATATCTCGGAGATGAGTATACACTGCCATCCCCCCACGTAAAAACACAGATGTATGATACACCCACCTTCTGACTAGCGAATCCCCCCAAATCACTCAGTTGGGCCTTCAGTCCTCCGACCACACCCTGCAAGCTCTCGACTTCATTTCGACTTTCGGCGACGGCGTCCTCGATCTTTTGGGCGTGGGCACTGGCCATTTCGGCTTTTTCGGCGTCGAGGGTGGTGATGCGGTGCTCGAGGGCGGTGATTTGCCGTTCATGCTCGGTTACTTTAATGTTGAGAAATTCGACTATGTCTTGCTAGGGGGGGGGGGGGGGGGTGAGACAGGAATGTGATATGAAACACAATTTTCCTTACCTTGTCGTGCGAAGACTTGGTCTGCGCCTTGCCCAACGCATCGTTTTCCGCTGATAGGACCTCGCACCGGGTCCTGCTGTTCGTTACGATTGGCAGATCAGCATGCGGCATTCCCTTCCTGTCCTGGAATATAGCCGCCGGGTGCAACCATCCTCGCCGATGTCGATTCCCACTCTCATAGTAGTCTTTTTATACCGCCCTACCCACCACAATGCGTCCACCATCCGCGAATCCTACCCCTCTCTTCCGGCCTCGTATACCCTAAATATCACCGCCCCCATCCCCCCCCCCCCAAAAGAAACTCAACTCACTATCTCTCCAACTTCTCCGTCAAATCCCTAACCCGCGCCTCAAACACCTCAATCGTAACCTCGTCCAGTTTCTGCTTCTCGCTGAGTTTGAAGTCGCCGTCGCCATCTGAGTTATCAAAAAAATAATATCATATCATATCATACATTCGCCCGGTAAGTACTGGAGTCAACTGGAGAGGAGTGCGAGCGAGCGAGGGATGGTGGGAGATACCTCGGTCGCCACCGGCGCTAGCCGCTTTCCGCCCTTTTTTGCCTTTCTTGTCCGCCATTACTTCCGGTCCTTCGAATGGTCTTCAGAGAGATATGGGAAAGTCTGCGGGTGGTGATATGGGGTTGCGTCTCTCAATATCAACCCAAGGCAGGATCAAACCATGGAATTGTGCAAACAGGCGGTGAGAAATCAACAAAGTGTGACGCCTCATGCTGTCAAAACATCGGGCGGAACTGGATTACGTTATGACGGTTGACGGGGTTATTGACAGGAATGTGCGACGAAGCTCAACGGCTCACCCGTGTTGAGGCGACGGAGGTACATCAAAGCAAAGGTCAAGCGAGTGCACATCAACGCCGGTCGGGACGAGAGGTTAGCCAGATTGTGTGCGGCGGGCTGTTACATGTCTGCTCGAGGGCCAGGACGCCGAGGAAAGCCATATCCGCGCTCCACCCGATACAACCGTCCAGACAAAACCACGTCAAAAGCATCCATAGAAAACGCATCGAAATTATTTACTTTGAAAAAAGCGCAATAAAAGCCCCAAGCACAAAACACGAGAAAGAATACAAGAAAGTCCAAAGACACGGGTATACCACAACAAACAACAAACTAAAAGGAAGTAGTCTCGTACACATATCGCACCAAGAGAGTTCGAAAGAGAAACGGGGGTGAATAAATAAGTGTCCCAGTGAGAGTCGATTAGGTCGGTGTCCAGCACAGGATGGTGAAAAACGGTGGTGTGTACAAGAATTAACGGGGGCTGCGATGCAGCCACGGGGGTCAAGGCGAAAAAGAGAAGTATGGGGACAAGAAGAGGGTCACAAGCGGATGTGAAAAGATGAGTACAAGAAAGGAACAAAGTTCGTCGGAAAAGGAAAAAGTCTGTGTGCAAGAAAAGAACGGTTTGTCGAAAGGCCAAGAATCCTTGCCGGTTGGTAAGGCAGGTTTGTAGCTCCAGTGTCAAATTAAGGGCGGGGGTTAAACATTCGTTGGCAGTCGAGCGGTGTTGTGTGAGAGGGGGTCGACCGTAAGTGCGGTGCATTGATGGGGCGGGGCATTGTTGCGAATATCATAGTGTAGGGTGTGATGTTTATTCAAGACTTGATCATAGTAGCTTCAAACCCCAGGAGCGATTCCTTCGGCGGGGTGATGAGTCCCGGTGGCGGGTGGGCCGGGTAGACGGATGTCGGGGTATAGTAGCCCTCGTCGACCATGTCGGTGACGTAGGGGCTTTGCGGGTGCATCACGTTGCCGGAGATGGGTCGTTGCGGGGTGCGCGAGGATATTTGGAGCTTGTGGAGGGTGGCGCTGGCTTTGCGACGTGTCCACCAGGCTTGGACGATGTGGCTCGCACAGTGGTGTTTGGATGTTGCGTACTATGCGAGGGGAAGCGGTTATTATGGTCGGTTTTGGCTGCAATGAACCACATATGAGATGCTTACCTTTTGGTGGAGAACGTCGGATCCCTTGGCAATACAGTGCTCCATGATAGTACACGCCCGATCAACATTATCATCATTGATATTCTCAGCAGCTTCTCGAGAATCCTTGATGAGATGGCTCGTCTTCAGCCCTGCGTACGTGTAGATCTCATGCCCCAGTCTGAACGCCGCCATGGCCAGGACACTCGAAGTCGAGTCAACCATACATCCGTTCGGGCTCAACACCGTGGTCAGTTCCATCAGGTACCGCGCGACGGCTCGTACATGATGTACAGGCGTGCCGGGCGCGTCCTCCTTACTCTCCGCATCATCATCGTCGATGAACCGTAAGAAGTAGGCTTTCAGGAACGCTTCGGGTGTGGGATGGCCTAAATCAAACCGCAGCGCTCGAAGAATGTGGCGTTCGAAGCCTAGGAAATCAGCTTCCGCGTACCGGTTGATGCAGACCAGGACCAGGCTTTTGAGGTTGGGCACGCGACCGTGGTTCTCCTCGTACTTTGCTGCTATCCATAGTGCCGTGGCTCCCAGTAACTGGTAGGTGTCCCGCTTGATGACTGTTTGTGCGCATACCCGATCGATGATGTTGATGGTCAGGTAGAGCGTGTCCGGTTGAAGATTGTGTTCCGCATGTACTTGGACGAGCCATGTAAGCAGCGTTTCGCGCATGGGCCATGAGAGCTCCTTTTGCAAGTTCATGAAGGAAGAGTCTGCACCCGTCTTGACCTTTGAGACATTTGCCACAACGCGTAAATATAGAACCATCTAACATGGGAAAGGCTTCCCAAACCGAAAGACAAAGGCTCACCTCAGCCTCCAACATCAACGCGAAAATCTCAGCGCCATATTCCGAAAACTCCGCCAAATCCGACCGTCTACCCATGCTTCCCTTGCTGCCTCTCCGTTTGTCCTTGCACACGCTCGTAGGTGGCGTCAAACGCGGTGACGGTGGTCGAGGGCGAGCGGGAAGCGAGTGTGCAGGGAGGGTGGCAACGGGCCCGTCGTAGGACTGCGCTGTGCGGTAGGAGCTGGTGGCCAACATGTCGGTTCGGAAGAGGTTAACAGACGCGATGTGGTGTGGTGGTGGTGGCGATCCTGGGTCGGCGGACCCGTCAAAGGACGTTGGGCAGGAGGGAAGGGCGCCCACTGTGCCGACTTATACAACTGTTCAAAGAGCTGAGGGTTTACAGAGTGTCGTTCAACTGACGGTCAACGTCGGTTGGTGATGTCGTCGGTGGGAATTTCGGGGGGTGCTGAGCTTTCGTCACAGATCGACTGCGCGAATTGCTGCTTGTCCTCCGACGTCGAGATATCTTATGAGGTGGGGAAGACGGGGTTCTGGCGTTAGCAACGGGTTCCACCGCATGGCGGCTCTCCTCCCTGCCCGAAGGCGTCCCTACCCGCCACCGCCGAACCGTGGGGAACAAGCAAAGGGAATGCGTAATAACTCACCCACGTTGCTCAAAACCAACCTGCGCGCGGGTGTGATATCTATTATCCAACGCGTCGCTTGGACGTCTGTGAGAGGTGGGAATGGCCAGAGATGCTCACGAACATGCAGAGAGAGCGCAGATGGGGAAGACGCTTGTAAGGCGCAAACCCGCTGGACGTGCTTGCGCTGAACAAGACGTTGTTGGGTGGCGAAGGGTTCGTAAAACTGCCAGCTGATGGATGAGCAAGGGTGGAAGGTTCACGCAGCGGGACCAGCGGGACTTTCAAGGGGCCAGGAGGTGGTTGGGCACTGAGGGACGCAACCCCGACCACCAAAGTAATAAACAACGGACCGGCGGGCTGTGCAAAACCGAATAGGGCCAGTGCGAAGCAAGGGGTAAGAAAAAAGGGAAGAGCCGGCGAAAGGGGGTCATTTTCAGGGACGCGAAGCTTTCTTACATACGCAGACACTCGACTTCTCGGACTCCGTTTCCCCTTGCAATGCTGCTGCTCTTGCTGCTCCCCCTGTACTTCGACCCAACGATCTCTATAAACTTCCACCGACCGGGGCCGGATCGTCATACACTCCCAGGGGCAAAACACGCTGACAACAGCAGCCAGAGCGAGATATTGTAATCACACACTGGTGCTCATCACAGCCAGCTGGTGTTGGACAGAAACATGCAAGCCTAAAAGGGCACAGAGGGAGGATGCGTGTGGGACCCACAGGGTCCGATTTGCACGTTCTCGCTTGACAAATTCGGGTCGATCGCCCTTGGCTCAAATATCACACCAGCGGCACAAGCGGACATTTAGTTGCTTTTGTGCGCTGGGTGCCCCGTCAGACATGGGGAAATGCGTTCTCGGCCGCCTGGATTTCGCATGACGGCAAGAGGCGCAGAACCGTGGGGAAGGGGTATGGCACCGTGAGAGACTGTCAGACACCCAGACGATACATAGTAGATCGCTCCCCAACCCTCGTTCCAACCCTCGTTCACAGGCCGATGCACAAAAGCAATATAGCACCCACCCACAGATGAGAGGGAAATGGACAGCATCTCCCCAGCAATATATATCGCCGCGGTGCCATGCACATTTGATCCAACAGTTGTGTTCTGGATCACGAATCGATCGCACCAATTCCATCCGGATGATCTCATTGCGCTGGGACCGTGGTCGAGAGTCACTGGGGGGAAACTAGGAAGACAACATGCGAAGCCCATCTGGTTCCACCAACTCGCGCTGCACGGCGCTCAAATTGCGGGCTGATAGAACTTCATCCGGCATTGCTGCTTATGTTATCATGACTCACGCGTTCAAATTCACGCGTTTTTGAAATGAGTGTGTAAGCATGGGGGCAGGTCTGAGGTCACAGGAAAAGCTTGTCTTCGGATCTGGCATTTCACAAATGTAGAAGGACAGGTCGTACGTGTGCATGTTGCGCACGATCAAGGTAATGTCAGTAGATTTCAAAGATTCCGTACGGAGCGTTTCATGCTTCCGATCGGATTCTTCTGTCAAAGCTTATGCTGAGAAAGTGGGGACATATACCCGTGACGACGCTGATGACATTGATGACAAGTTGATTTGGCAACTGCGCACATCGACGCGACGGCTGCTGGACGTCAAGATAGTATGTACTGTACGCCGGTGCTACATGGTACTTCCGCGGCGATGCATGATATCCTATGAGATGCCGGTACAGTAGTTGGGTACGGGGTACGGTACATTTAAAGCGACGAAAAATGAGGCGAAAATGAGGCACGAACGGAATGAAAAAAAAAACGATAGCTACGTACATACACGCACGATCGAGGAAAGAGACCAAAATGGTGTGCATCCACATCCGCCAACACACCAGCACGCCTTCATCGCGCACTCCCGGACGGGGTCGAACCGCCGATCTTCGGATGTCCTAACGCATAGAAGTCCGACGCGTTGCCACTACGCTACGGGAGGCTTTGAGCCCCACATCGGCCTAATGTGAGCTAGGAAGCGTAAGCACAGCTCTCGGAACGTAGAGGAAAGTGCCGGACCAAGTCGATGGCAGGGGAGGCCAACCTTGTCCCGGAACAATTTCCCCAAGGCCCATTTTCGTCGCCTGCTCAAGTGGCTTCCGGGTTCGTCCAAGTAGCTTGTCACGATTTCTCCCCGAACTGTTGGGATTGCTTCACGATTTTGATCACAGAGATAAAGATCTGGCGACCCTCTTCGGCTTCTCACAATGCTTCGTAGGAGCGTAGACTGCGTTCATCGATCATCACAGCAGCTTGCAAGGCTTCTGAGCCGTCCGCTTGTCACCAAGACTTTGGTGAGCCCAGGCATCAAAAATATGACTGGCCAAAACTGAGGTTGCGCGCGTCCCGAGACACATCATTCCTTGCACAGCCACATGGCAAACTCGCCGGGCTCCCAGGCGGCTCTCCTGTTCACCGTCAGGAAGCGACTGTTTGTTTTCCAGATCTTGTCCAGCATCTCGAAATTAACGGCAGCAGCGGATGCAGGGCGCTGGGGAGCGGCTGACTTCTGTGGTTTCACCAAGCAACCTCCCACCGCGCGCAACCTCAGTTTTGGCCACCTACTGTATGATCCCCTGAGTGCCGGAATGTCGGTGGCCTCGACGGTATGGACGTCCCTTCTCATCCAGAGTCCCAGAATATATCCTTGGGTTGCCAGGTTTTGCCAGGAACGTCGGGCGCCGACCGTCCTCCAACCTGGTACCTGGGCCATCTTCCATGGCGCCAGCCGCCCCCTGCGAGAATCTTCAAAGCAGAGGCAGGTGCGTATAAAGTCATGGAAGGCGACGGAGGTTTGACTAGATTCTCACGGCGAACTCGCGCCTGAAGCACCCGCCACCCTTGCCTCTAAGGCCGTCCTAATTCCGCCTCCAAGTTTCCCAAGTCCACAGTTCCGGGAATTTGTCACTTTGAAAGACACCCAGCCAGAGGCTCCGAATGCATGGAGCCAGAGTTGATCCAAGTCGCCGGCGTAGGCGATTAGAAATATGGACCCGCTGTCCAGCGGCGTATGGCGATAAGCAAAGTATGCCTTTGACCGTTTCCACATCTCCTGGGACTTTGTCGCTTTGAAGTACACACAACGAAATCATCGGCTCGGATTGTCCGGAACCAGAGGTGTGACCCAGAAGGTTGCGCTGCACTGCTTTGTTCCAATGCCTTCACTCAGCGAGGCGGCCAGCATCGATGTCCCGAATTTCGACAGTGTCAGTATGGTCGATGTTGGGCACCTCAACTAATGGCACAGTGGCGCATCGTCATCTCGGCGTGGAGAGAGCGCGATCCTGCATGATTGCCTGCCAGTGACTTTCTCCGCCGGGGGTTGCCCACGCCCAGACCTCGCTCAAAGTTATCGTATCTTCACGTCCATCGAGCGTTGGGTCCGGTATTTCCCGCGCCGAGAGGTGTCCACTGCCAGTGCAAAGTGCTCGGTTTTCCACCGATGAGTTCGACAAGCCACCAAATACCAACAGCGCACGGAATTCCTCGTCCGGTGTCCATCCATCGCCCTAACGGATGAAAGGGAGCGTTGGGTCTGTAGTCGTTTCAAGAAGTTGACAGGTGTCAGATGCCGCGCGATGAGCTGCTTCGCGGGGGGAGAGGGATGACATGCAGATGGCAGGCATCACTCGGGAGGTTAAGGGTGGTCACGTGGGGTCACGCAGTCCGCACCAGACTAATCTTAAGAAGACTCGCAAGTTCATATGATCCCCCCATCAAGAGAGCCTCTGATGATCATTGCAATCTCACTACAGTACCGCTAAGGACTGCCACGCAGCCGCACCGCCCTACTCCCTTCCACTCCGCCAAAGCACGCTGCTCGGCCGCTAAACCCCCCCCCCCCCCCATCCCGCAACTCGCAAGCTGCCCCCACCCCCTCCTTCACCTTCAACCCCACCGCTTCACCAGCGTCTGCCAGGTAACGCTTATCACTCTCGTTGCTCCTCTCCCCCAGCCAGACCCCAACGGGATCTTCTTTCTCACCTCCATTTTCCCCGCCACGCTTTCCTTCCCACTTACGCGTGCCCTCACAATACAGCAATCTTTTGCAACGATCGTTCGTCAACCGGCTCTCCACTGACACTCCAACCCACCCAACACCTAGCTTCTTCCAAAAGACGCTACACCACACAAAAGCAATAGCGAAATAGAGAGTCATACCGAGAGACAATGGCTTCTGCAGCGTCTCAATCAAACCCAGAGGTCGCGGCACCTCTACCGCTCAGGAAATTCAAACTCGTCTTTCTCGGCGAGCAGTCTGGTGGGTATTTACAACCGAGGAGGTGCTGCTGAATATCGAGGAAAAAGGTGGTGGATGAGACGGGGAAAATTGCGAATTGAACGGGGATGAGGTGGAGCGTGGGAAAGTCGGATGCGGCTGAATGGCGAAAAGTTGCGAGCCTATGGTGGTCGACCGGAGGGAGGGTTGTGCTGTCCCAAACCAAGCAAAGCCAGGGCGAGCGGTCGTCTCGAGCGAGAGCTATTCAATGGCGGCCAGCAATTGCGAGATGATAGCGGCGAGCGAAACGAGGCGTCAGAATGCTTGAGGAGTTGGGGCCGTAGGCACAGGAGTACTTGAGGGTGGCAACCGATGGTGAGCGCCAGCTCATCAAGTGGAGCAAGGGTTTGCGAGTGATAATGAGCGTCGGATGGCCTTTTTGCCATCGGACCTTGTGCAAACGAGAAGCGAACATTCTTGGTTTCGGGAACACTTCGTGAACAACACTGTCGCGGCGCTAGCGAGCATGATGTTCTTCCATCCACGCCACCGTTCTCTCATCACCTGTCCCTAATCATTTCAACCTCTCCTGTATCCCCACAGTCGGCAAAACCTCCCTAATCACCCGCTTCATGTACGACACCTTCGACAACACCTACCAAGCGACGATCGGGATCGACTTCCTCTCCAAGACAATGTACTCGGACGAGCGGACCGTGCGTCTGCAGCTGTGGGACACCGCAGGACAGGAACGGTTCCGCAGCTTGATTCCAAGTTATATCCGCGATTCGAGCGTTGCTGTTGTTGTCTATGATATAACGAGTGAGTCGATTAGAGAGTGGGGTGTGTTGAATCGAGATCACGATGATCTAACGTATTTATATTTCTCCCCACTCTCTTAGACCGCAACTCGTTCATGAACACAACAAAATGGGTAGACGACGTCCGCGCCGAGCGAGGGAACGACGTCTTGATCGTGTTGGTGGGCAACAAGACCGATCTCTCCGAAAAAAGGTAAAATCAATACATCACCCTCCCCCATGTTCCCGGCCCCTTCCCCTTCCCATCCCCGCCTCCCCCCCACTCACTCCTCTGATCATTATCTTAGACAAGTATCAACAGAAGAAGGCGAAAAGCGCGCCAAAGAGTTCAACGTGATGTACATCGAGACGTCCGCAAAGGCGGGATACAACGTCAAGGCGCTGTTTAGGAAGATTGCGAATGCGTTGCCGGGGATGGAGGCGAACAGTGAACAGGGGGGTGGTGGGAATCAGAGTATGTGTGATGACATTTCGCTTTTTTTTTGGCAGCTGACTTTGAGGAACTCTGAAGGGCTGATTCTTGTCTGATTATCTATTTTAGTGATTGATCTGCAACTCAACCCGGCGTCTCAGAAACCGGCTGAGGGGTCTAGCTGCTCGTGCTGATCTGACATATAACACATTACGCGCGGGAAGAATCACCATTTCATCATTAAATTCAAACCGAAAAAAAAAGTGTTTTCGACACGCCATATCGCCATATCGTTGGGAAATTGTTGTTCGAAGGGGGGACCGTGATGGATTGGATGTTCGACTTGCGAACATGTCGATTTTGGCGCGCGGAGAAAACCTAGAGGGCTTTTGTCGGACGGGGCTTGGGGGAAGCGGGGCGAGGTTGAGTGGCATTTTTCGGCCCGTCGGACAGGATGGGGTTTTCCATCATCTCATAACGCATTTTCATGTTCGAGTTGTTCCTTTCTATGCTTTTTTCCGTTTCGTTTCGTTGGGGGGAATGTAATCTATTCGGGGGGGCGTGCCTCTTTTTTTTTTTCCTTCTTCCCGCCCGCTGTGGCTATCCCCATTTCCACTTCCCTCCATTCTTCATTTTGCGTTTTCTGCTGATCCATGCTGCACTTTCCCGTCGTGGCCATAACATGGCATTCCCGTCACCGAGCTCGCCCATAGATTGTGAAAGTCCTATTCCGGGGTGCGTGAATCTCCCCCTCGCGGCGCTCCCCCCGGGTGCCGAGCGCCGCCTATATATGACCCCCCGACGCACGCCCATTTTTGGCTTTCAAGATGCATGTTTCAGCCAGTCTCCGTGCACGGGTAAGTGGAGACCACATTTCTCGCCACCCCCGCCCTGTCAGATTCCCCACGGGAGAGTGTTGTTTTGTGCCGTGCGGGGCCCGTGGGGGGCCGTGCGACTCACCCGATTCCCACCCCCCCGCCCAAACCCCCAGTCCCAACCCATCTCTGCCCCGCCGACCATTTAGAGGTGTGTTTGGACAGGGCTGTTTGAATCGTAACGCGTTCGGGAATGCTAAATGGGCGTCGTGCGGCGGACGCAGTAAGCGACGGTTTGGTAGTACCCGCTCTGATGGGCGGGAACGGAGGCGAGTTGGGTGGGTGGTATCGACGGCGTTGGGAGCCTTTGCCACCCCCCCCCCGTGTCTCCGCCGGCCGCTGGAAAAGTGTATGTACAGTATGTAAGCGTCGGAGTTACCGTCCAAAACGCGTCCCACTTTACGCGTAGTGACCAAGAGACGAGATGCGCCCGCTTGACCAACAAAAAGGCGCGCCTGCTCGATCGCAGGGGCGGGTCCGAGAAGGGGTTTTTGACGAGAGGGAGGTCCTGGCGGCGCGCCCACCACCCGCTTCCAGTTGGCGTTCTCGTCGCCCCGTACGGCAATCTATCGTCTGCGCCGGAGTGGCGAGACAGCATCGTTCAGCCTATCCCGCTCCTTTAACCCGCCCCCATCCGGTTCTGCCATCGGACGGGACGAATGTTCTCGTTTTTTTTTTCTGCCCAGCACATCTCGGGGGCTTCTCGCTAGGACTTTCTCTCTTTGCCCAGTCCCCAATTCGGGGCGTGCGGCAAAAAACCCCGAAACAGGGCGCGTTTCCCGACACGAGTGTGGGGTGCTGGCCAAACGCATGCGGGTTCGTCCGGATCCTATCATACACCCACACCTCTCCAGCGAGGCGGGATGAGAAAGGGATCCCCACCCATCCAAAGGGAAAGAACGGCACAAACACCCCAGCCCGCACCCAGCACGCGCTGCCTGGGCGAAACCCCCATGCGAATCAGACCCCGAAGCCGATCGCTTGCTACATCGTTCACTTCCCCCGGTCCAGTCTTGCATTTCCGCCCTTCGTTACTGGGGACCGTGGGGAGGTTCTGTGGGTGGGCATTGTGTTGGGCGACGGGAGGAAGTGAGTCGCGGGTTCTAGCGGGGGTTCTAGGCGTTGTATTCATTGGCCGCACGCTGGTTTATGCAGGAGGACCAGAGGGGGCAGGGGTGCGAATGCGACGAGGTTGACGCGTGATGTGGTAAGCCCCGACTTCGCGTGTTGCCCAAACAAAGTGTCTTGTAATTGTCGCGTCTGCCGCTCCGCCTTACAAGTTGACAGGGGGGGTCAGAAAGAGGGGCCAGCAGACCAGGGGAAATGAACTGGATTCACTACTGACCTGCCGCGCAAGGCGAAACGACCACCGCAATGACCAATGCCGACCAAGATGTTCCTCATGACGGTTGACTTTCTGAACTTTGGCTGGGAAGTCCGTCTTCGCCCCATCTTTTATTCTCCCGAGCGGTCCAGCACTGCTGTAAGAAACAAATTCGAGTGCCCCCTGGCTCCCTCGAGGCCGCTGTTTGGCAGAATGGGTCATCAGCCGATTGGGGGCAACGTAAAACCACATCCCAATACGCAAAAAATGCTAGCGGCTCGACGGTACGCTCGCCCAGTCCGAGCACAGTCAAAAGCGGACCGTCTTATACACCCAGTGTATGTATGTTGAACGAGGCTGCACCTCGCGATATCGTTATCCCCGCCGGCTTTTTGTTGTCCGAGGCAGGCGTGACCCCAAATTTCAAGGCTTTTGGGCCAGCAAGCTATTAAGGTTGTAGCAAGCTATTAAGGTTGTAGGCGCAAGGGAGTGAGAAATTATGGCCCCCATCGCTATATTTTCATCGGTAAACGGGCAATCTTCTCCACGCAATGGAGTAGAAGATAGATATTCCACCATCGCGATCCCGTTATCCCGCCAACTTTCCGTCGTCCGAGGAAGTCGCAGTTGCACTTGAGCAGCAATTTTTTTTTTCAAACAAGGTTGAACATCAGGCCATGGGGTTACAGCAGAAAACCCCTTTTACTCCCTCCTCCACCGACAATCCTCCACCGACAATTGCTCACGACGTTTCGGAAGTTGCGTATCTCATCCGACTTCGCCTGCGCCCGCGCAAGTGGCATTTGGTATATGTAGAGGTGGGCCTGGGCTTCTGGCATTTCCGTCAAATGCGTCTGTCGACCGTCTTATACACCCAGTGTACTGTACCTCCCCTTCCTGTGATGAACGCGACCCACTCCCGCATCTTATATCCAGCCTTGGTGAGCAAGAACCCCACCTTACCCCGCAAAAGGGCCCTCATTTCTGCAAGGATACACGAACGGACCCGCCTGCTCGTGATGGTGCGATTGTGCTTTTTTCATCGACGGGGGCCATCGCACAGGCGCCAAATCCCCCATCCCCGGGATGAATGGCATGAACGGCTCAGAGCAGTGCACACTGGCCAAGCATGCGTTTATCGCCCAGGAGTTCCGGGTATGCATTGCAATGTATGCAGATTATATCCTCCCTACAGCTACAAGCCTACGTTAGGGATGTTCCTGCGTCTCAAACGGGAAAACGCGGGCTATTCTGCATGGACGTATACGTTCATACGCCGCCGTAATGGTGGGATGAATGTGTGTGGGACATCACGCTGCTTCTGTTTAATCGGAAGATGCCTTGAGGGAAGGAGTGTGCATTGCCCATGCTGGGGTGCTGCTGCTTGGATGGTCTCGAATCGGTCGTTGTGTGTGCGGGACGGCTCGTTCGTACGTTGTGGTGGATTACGGTCGCGAAAAGCAGCCGATCGCGGGTGTTTCAGAATTCGGCGTCGTCACTAAATAGAGAACGGGGCTCAACATGAGAAACCCTTGACAACACAAAACAACCCCCTCCCAGCCCCAAGTCTCCTTACCTTAAATCCAACTGTCCAAAAACCCTCCCCACAATCGCCACCACCATGTTCAACGACGCCGTTCTCGGATCCTCCAGCGTCAGATCCGTCGCCATCGCGCTGCGGAGCCGGCGGCACGTCTTGCACAGAATGCGGAGGATCGCTAGTTCGTCGGCGGTGAGGAGGGGGTCCAGGCGGAGGAGGAGCGCGAAGAGCCATTGCCCCTGGAAAATAGATAGGGGTGAGTGGAAGAAGGGGGATGGGGAGGAGACGGGGAGGGACGAACCTGATCTTCGGATATACTGGTAGTTTCGTTCAACCACTTTGCGTGGAAGTTGAGGAGCCGTATGGTTTCGCCCTGTTCGAGGCGCACGACGATGTTGGTACAGGGTTCGCGGTCGTTTCGTGGTGGTGGTGTGGGTACGGATTGTCCTTCTTCCTCTTCCTCTTCTTCGAGGATCGGGATGGATTCCATTGCTTCTGATGCGTCGGTTTGGTTCGTGTCCACGTCTGCATCAATGTCCATAGCTGTGGTATCTCCTCCTCCCTCCTGCTGTTGATCCATCCGTGCACGTTTCGCGGCATGCGTTTCGGGGAGATGCAGTTGGCCGATCTTTCGTTTCGCAAGGTGGTCGCTCCCACCTTCTTCAGCCGTTTGCGCCCCGGATAATGATGACCCCGCAGACGCGCCACGTTCCCCGTCCCCATCGCCGTAACAAAAGGTCTTCCACGCGCGTTCGTTCGCGGGGTGCGGTTTGTACATTGATGTCATGTTTCCGCTTTCCAGTAGCGCTTTCCTGTGGGCGGCGAGCGTGCTCCGCAGGGCCTCGAAGCGGGCGAGGAAGCTGGCGAGCCATTCGGGGGTTGGGCGGAGGTGGGGTGGGGTGGGTGCTTGTCGGGATGTGGCTTGGAAGTTTTGGGCCGTGAAGTATTGGTGTCGGATATCTGGGACCATTGTTGTTGTTGTGGGATTTTGCCCGTGGTTCTGCTGCTTGTGTGATGGGTAGTCAACTCGAACCACTTGTGGGCATGCGTTCGCTTGTGCTCTGTAAAGTCGAATTGACCGACGATGGATGAGGGTGTGATGGATGAAAACGATATCCTGCTCCCTATCGGTCGCCTTGATTATCTGGCCACCGCTCGACTGGACACCTTACCTCACCATCTTCAAATACTGCAAGCCGGAAGCCGGCACAGCGCCGTCCTCGAACCCCTCATCCCCTTCCTCATATTCGTCTTCTTCGTTGTCGGCGTAACCGTTGAGAGGCAGGGCGGGTCGTTTTATTGTATCCTCGTCGGCCTGGGTCCAGTCTGAGTATGTGGTGCCGCGGCCGTTGCGCCCGCTGTTGTTGTGGGTACTGTGAGCGTTGCCGGTGTAGTTTGAGCGGCTGCGGTGGTAGTGGTTGTTGTTGTGCATTGTGGGGGCCTTCTGGGTGGTGGGAAGAACGCTGGGAAGAACGCAGAGAGGGAAAGCGAGCCCCGCGCAACTTTACAGGAGGACCCAAGGAGGACCCTCCTGCAAACTGCAACGTCTCAACCAGCCGACGAACAGCACAGCTCAATCGGCATCCCCCCCCCTCAGACACACATACACTCTCTCTTCCTGGAGCACCCCTCACTCGATCTACTCCCGTACGCAGGCTCCGCAGCTTTCGTTGCCCACTCGCTTCAAAGTCTCTGCACACTTCCTCAGAGAAACCACCCCTCAGCATCCTCCTCCTTGCAAGCCACTCTCATAAACCACTATGCGAGATCTTACAGTCCTCTCCGGCTCCTCACACCCCCGCCTCGCACAAGCCATATGCGAGCGGCTAGGCGTGCCCCTCGGCTCCTGCACCCTCTCCAAATTCTCAAACAAGGAGACAAACGTCGAAGTCAGAGAGTCCGTCCGCGAACAGGACGTCTTTATCATCCAGTCAGGCTGTGGGAACGTTAACGATAACTTCATGGAGTTGCTCATCATGATCGCTGCTTGTAAGACTGCTAGTGCTAGGTGAGTCCCGAGCGGAGCGAGGAGGATGCGAAGGAGGTGGGCCCAACTGTGCCATGGGCACAGGAATGCCTCCTTGAGGGTGCCGAGCGGAAGGGAGGAGGTTGCGAGCGGAGGGTGATCTTCTGTCTATATTCATCATGCATCGATTGACAAACCAGAGGATGGAGACTAATCATCGCTCGTCCCGATATTAGAAAAGTGACAGCGGTATTGCCGTGTTTCCCATACGCCCGACAGACGGAAACGCCCTACCGGCGAGTAGGCAACATGTCCGTCTCACGGTTCAAATCGCACGACGGAAAGGACGCAAAACACAGTGCAGACAAGCCCAGCCCTTTCGACTCCCAACTTCTCCGCACACAAAGCTCCTCCGTCTCCGTCTCCGACCTCCTCCCCACCCGCAACAGCCAAGCCGGCGGCGGTCTCCCCACCCTCACCAACGGCACCACGTACCCCCTCTCCGAACCCCCCACCCCACCCCCCGTCCTCGCCTCCATCATGACCGTTGAGCGCACCAAATCAACCCTCGAGTTCCCCGACTCGGACTACGACGACGACGACTACTTTTCGCCGTCGCCCGTGACACCCAAATCGCGGCAGTTGCGCGAGGGGTCGACCATGTCGCTGGATGAAGGGGGCAGGGTGTCGAGTATCAGCCGGTCGGTGCCAAAGAGTGAGGCGACGAGTTTGACGGTGCAGAGGCCCGATGTGGCGTATGCGGGGCCAAGTGGGGTCAGTAGTGCGTATAAGCAGTGGACAGCGAGGAGTGGGACGTTGATGGCGAATATGCTTACTGCTGCTGGTATGTTCACCCTTCGTAAAATGCTGCCCTCCATGCTCATGGAGCGGGAATGTTGACTGACCTCACCACTGTCATACCACCAGGCGCAGACCACATCATCACAATGGACCTCCACGACCCTCAATTCCAAGGCTTCTTTGACGTCCCCGTCGACAACCTCCACAGCCAACCCCTCATGATCAAATACATCAAAGAGAAGATCCCAAACTACCAAGAAGCCGTCATCGTCACCCCGGACGCCGGTGGCGCCAAACGGTTCGTTGCATCACTCACCCGGCCGCCTCCCCCTCCATATCTAACCCCCCCCCTCTCTCGTATTGACATTTTTTAGAGCGACACTGATAGCCGACAAACTCAACATGGACTTTGCCCTCGTGCACAAAGAACGGCGCATCGCCGCCGGGTCCGAACTCATCCTCGTCGGCGACGTGCGCGACCGCGTCTGCATCCTCGTCGACGACATCGCCGACACCTCCTTCACCATCACGCGCGCCGCGGCCCTGCTCACCAAATCGGGCGCGACAAAGATCTACGCGTTGATCACGCACGGGATCCTCAGCGGGGACGCGGTCGAGAGGATCAGGGCGAGCAGTATCGACGAGGTCGTGGTCGGGAACAGTGTGCCGCAGGAGGAACATGTGGAACGCGCGGGCGGCAAGCTGAAGGTGTTTGATGTCGCGGGCGTGTTTGCCGAGGCGGTCAGGAGGATACATAATGGGGAGAGCGTCAGCTTTTTGTTTGATCAGACGCCCTATTGAGGGAGGGTATCACTTGGGAATGGGGGCCTGCTACCCCACTTTTAAGCTCTTTTTTCTACTCTCTTCGCATATCGGATTTGCCCCTGCATGCACAAAAGAGCTTGTCCGGCATCCTGCCACCTTTATCCCTCTTCATACCAATACCCCTACGTCGCAACCCCACATACACCGCCCCTTTTCCCCCACATCTCCATAGCCTAGCCCTAGCCTACAATCCCCATCCCGACCGTCATCGCCTACCCTGCACATATATCCTGTATATTTCATTTTCTGCTCCCGCTGTTCTATGTATAAAAACCAAATCACGCACGGGCGTTTCACACTTCTTTGAACCGTTTGATTACTCCTGCATCGCGTCGTCATCGTCGGTGATGGTTTTGGTGACGGCGCTGCGGGCTGGGTCGGGTGGGATGTAGTCGAATCTGAGGTGGGGGAAGGAATGTGTGAGGAGTTTGACGAGAACGGGGTGTCCACGGGTGTCCACGGAGACACGAGACTCCTTTGCAGGCAAAAGGACGTACCTCCAAATCAACGAATCCCCGCCAACATACACAATACTCCTGCCACCCAACGCGCGTCAGTCCCCTTCCCTTCATCGCACGCCCCCCGCGAAAAAGCCCACGCTCACCGATCCCCCTCGACAAACGCACAAGCCCTGACCGCCTTATTCGAGCGCGGGTGCGCGAGCACGCTGACCAGTGTCCCGGCGGCGAGGCTGTAGACCGCGACGGAGCCGGCGGGCGTGCCGACGCAGAAGTGGGTCCCGTCCGTGCTGGGAATTCATACATACCCGATATGAGAAAGCGTACGGCGGGGGGGAGAGATGTACAGAGGTGCACACTTACCTGATGCCTAACCGACATGTGTTGTGTCCGGTGCTCCCTTTGACTTGGAAGATGTGGATGATCTGCACTCATTTCGGGGGTGGGTTAGACGAAGAGATGGGTTACGGTGTTGGGAAGGTGGGACGGAAACCTTACCTCTTCCGCTAGCGGGTCCCAGAACGCCACCTTCCCGTTAACGCCCTTCGACAACACGCGGGAGTCCACGTATCGTATATCGTCTACAATCATACCCCCGTTAGCACAAGCACACCCCTCCGTTTCCCCCTCACCCCATTCAAAAGCCCACCTATACAACACCCCCCATGAAACGTCTCCACGACCTGCGCAACCGGCAACCCGGTCTCGACCGTCTCGTGCGGGTACACCGCGGCGTCGTCTGCGGACAGGTCGAGGAGGGCGTCCGGGATCTCCCAGTCGCGGATGACGCCGCGGGGGGAGGCGGTTATGAAGGAGAGGCCGTTCGGGTGGAACGTCTGCAACCACCATCAAAAGGTTTTTAGCAGTCCGGTGATGCATATATGAGGAAAGAAACAGGGGGAGAACTTTACCGCACACCGCGCCTTCACACTCCACCTCGCGACCTCCCTCCGCGCGCCCACATGCCACATCCGCACCGTCCCGTCCTCGCCCACCGAGAGCAGCAGCTCGTCATCGGTCGGGTGGGTTTCGAGATGGGTGATGGTCGCGGTGTGACCGGTGAGTTGGGCAATCTCCTGCGAACGCGTGAGGCTGATGATGTGGATGGTCGCGTCGGTGCCGGCTGCGGCGAGGAGGGCGTCGGTTGGGTGCGGGAGGAAGGTTGAGGTTAGGAGTTCCTTTGGAATGGGATGTGGGGTTAGTTGTGAGTTTGGGATGTGATGTGATGTGATGGGGTAGTGAGAACGTACGGGGGGTTCGCCGGATTCCGGCTGTGGTGCATCGGGGAAGTACACACCGCCGCCAACGACGAAGTGGGACATGATGTCCAGATGGTCGCCGCAGTGTGCGTTGTCGTAGAAGTTTACCTAGCGACATACGGGGAGAATGATGAGAAGACGAACACCTGAACAAACGATATCCTCCGCGCGAAACGAGTGGTTGGATGGGATAAGTCGCACATTCGGCTCGGCCTCCTCGCTTTGCTCGCCGCAGTTCCTCCAACATCCCCCCTCGCTTCGATCCCCGTAGTTCCTCAACCATCCTCTATGCCTCCCATCCCTTGCCTCACCCTCAACCACCACCTCTCCTCGCAAACCCACCTGGTCTCCCCCAACAGTAACCAAAACATTCCCCGCCCTTATCCCACCCTTCTGCGCCCTCTCCGTAAAGAAAGCACAATGATTGATAGCTTTCCCATGGTTCTCACGGACGATACGGCGTAGTCGCAGGGACGAGAGTATTTCTTCTTTTGAAGGTTCTGGTGTCGATGTATGTTCGGACATGATGGGTTTGGATGAGGATAAGTGGGTGAGGTGCGATGGCGGGGTTTCGACGTCCATGGTGAAGAGAGGTGAGGCTGCTGTGTTTATGGTGCTGATGGTTTCCCAGAGGTGCTCCAAGAGCCGTCTGGGTCGATCAAGTCCGATCTGGCGAGGTCCGAAAAGTGGAACAGTGAGGACCTCTCCGGTTACGGTGTGGGTTGGGAAGTCAACGTCCGGACGTTCTACGCAGGTGCTACGGCTTGACTCCGTTTCCCGTCGTGGGCAGTGCGTGAGAGTGGGTGGCCCTGCGGAGTGTACAGTACTCCTGTGTGTGTATGTGCTCTGCAGTGCTTGCCTGCTGTGCCTTTTGCGGAAGAAGGATGTGCGCTGGGGCAGGCAAGTCCACCTAGTCCACCTGTCGAGGCCCCGTCCAACGCGTCCGTTCGCTTTCCAACTCGTCCGACACTCGGCGGAACTGCTTTCGGAACAGCGCTCGCAACTAACATAACCCCAGCCTACATCGACACCTCTCCCACTCAAGTCGAAGCTCCCACTGGACGCCTCGGGTAAAGCGCCACGGTCAGCAAAGCGCCAACCCGGCTCTCATACACTCTCTTTGAGCTTTCCGTAGACGTGCACGAAGGTTCCATAGAGGCAATATGCCAGCAGAAGGAGGGGTGACCGTCACCCCTCAAAGCAAATGCTGGTGGCGTACTCTCACCCATCCTGTCCTTTATCAACCCGCGGATCTGTGTCCGTCGATGTTACCGGTGTCATACGGCGTGTCCTTCCCCGTTGCAATATCCCACTCACATCCACTATCCCCACCACCCACCCCACTCTCACTGACTACCCCCCCCGTCCATGCAACAAAATTGAAAACCAATGGTCCCATTCCTGCGCGCAAATATGGAATCTACGTATATACCCCCGTCACAGTTCTCAAACTGATCGGCGGGAAACACATGAGCGTTCATGTCCTTTGTTGTGAGAGGGTGTTATAATTTACAATCGGCCGATGTCCCATCGTGCGTCGCCGGAGGTCAGTGGGCGATCGCTGAACCGTAAGCTCTCGCTCCTGCTTAGTATCCCCGCCGCATGGCGCTGCCAACACCCATCCTACCCCCAACGCACCCATCCCACTTTGTCCCACTATGTCCATTTCAACCCCGCCCCTCACGACGCCTTCCCACTCCCAGCCCCACCACGACACTGCCCCAACGCCCACTGTACGCCATCTTCCACGCCCGCCCCCGTTTTCCCGCTGCAGGGCTGGATCTGCCAGTGCCGGTCACGGATCGCGTTGAGGTTGAGGCCTGTTGCTATCTAAGAACAAGAACCATACATCATGTGAGCAAAGGGAGTGCGATGATGCAGGACGGTTGGATGCTTTACCTCATCCCCAGGCAAAGCGGTAACCAGATCCTGTTTATTAGCCAGCACGAGCAGCGGCACGCCGAGGAGTTTAGATTCTTCTAGGAGTTGTTGAAGTTCTTCGCCTCTGCAATCAAGATCAAGGACGAGTCAGTCAGGTATGGAGCGTTACATGATGAGCGTGGTAGCGGATGTGGGCACGAATACTCACGTTTCCTCCAACCGCCGTCGATCCGCGGAGTCAATCACATATATCTGCCAAATGTCGTATCCACATCAGTACTTGTCCCACACCGCGTTAACACCTTTCTCCCCCAAAACATTACCAAAACATCAGTACTCTCAAAATAATTCCTCCAATACGGCCTAATAGCCCTCTGCCCACCAATATCCCACACAGTCAACTTTACGCCCTCCACGACCACCGTCTTGATATTGAACCCCTGCGTCGGTTTGATCTCGGTGATGGGTTCGGACGCGAGGTGTTTCAAGATGGTGGTTTTGCCGGAGTTGTCGAGGCCGAGGAGGAGGATGCGTAGGTCGGTGGGCGTGGAGCGGAGCCGGCGGAGGAGGGAGAGGAGGCCCTATGTGTGCAGAGAGAGAGGTTGGTTGGATGTGAGGGAGGGAGGGAAGGTGGGGGAGCGGCGGCGGAGCGGGGCACGTACCATCGTGAGCGTAAGGACGAGGGCGTTTGGGTGCTTGTGCGGGCGGCTTTGGGTGCTTTTAACGCTTGAATGGGGAGCGAGGAGGCTTTCCCAGCTGTTCCCGACGCTCGGAGTGGTCGCCCGTCGGCAAGAGAAACAGGGCAGGGCTGGGGGGGCTGGGCGGGTCGGAGTGCACGCAGCTGCTGAAGACGAGCCACGCGAGAGCGTCAACTGAAGACCGAGAAGGAAGACGTGACAGTCCACAGCCCACAGCGGACACCAGGCGCGATCTTTCATCCTCATCGAGGCCACATTCGTTAGAGTGAACCGCCCCCTTCATAGAGCCCTCGGCATGTCGATAGCCGGAACAGCAGGCGCACCGGCTGCCTCGCCACCGGCCGTCCTTGCGAACTATGCGACCAGCGAAGTGGTCGTCGAAAACGTGGGAGAGGAAACAGAGGTAGGGAGGCGGGAACCGGCGGGGGGCAGCTAACCCTCGCCCTGCCATGCGAGAGGGGCCGCTGAGGCTATTCGTTGCTCGTTGGACTGAGCCTTCCGTTCATTTATCTCCACGCTTGCCGAAGGAAGGTGCAGTGGCGAATGAGATATTCCAGCCCCCGAACTTTTACGCCGAACGCCGGCACAACCGAGTTCGAGAAACACCGAGCGAGAAGAGCAAAGCGCTGCAAGCGCCCGCAGACTGGCGTATGCGCGAGCGGCTGAAGACCGTGTCGGCCGTCATGATCATCTGCCTCAACATCGGAGTGGACCCCCCCGATCTCGTCCGCACCCACCCCTCGGCCAAGCTGGAGTGCTGGATCGATCCGTTCTCGTTGACGAGTAGTAAAGCGCTGGAGGCGATAGGGCGCAATCTGCAGACCCAGTATGAGGTCCTGCAGCCAAGGGCTCGGTTCCGCGTTTCCCCGGACCCGTCTGTGGAGGAGACAAAGAAATTGTGCTGTTCGCTGAGGAGGAACGCAAAGGAGGAGCGAGCGCTGTTCCATTATAACGGACATGGGGTGCCCAAGCCGACGCAGGGCGGGGAGCTGTGGGTATTCAATAAGAACTACACGCAGTACATCCCGATCTCCATCTACGACATTCAGACGTGGATAGGGTCTCCATGTGTCTACGTCTACGACTGCAGCAATGCAGGGAATATCTTGCATGCTTTCAATCGCTTCGCTGCTCAACGGGATGCGGAGCTAGCGGCGGAGGGACGACTGGCTACGAAAGATCAGGCGGATGGGGATAAGGAGGTGCAGGTCCCAATGGAATCGTGCATCCAGCTGGCGGCGTGCCAGGCAAATCAGGTCTTACCGATGAACCCTGATCTTCCTGCGGATGTGTTTACCAGTTGCCTGACGACCCCTCTGGAGATTGCATTACGGTGGGCGGTGACGCAGAACCCGCTGCTCAATTCAATCACCCCGGACATGATCATGAAGATACCCGGCCGGCTGAACGATCGGCGGACACCACTGGGAGAGCTGAATTGGATCTTCACAGCCGTTACAGACACGATAGCATGGACAAGTCTCTCCCACGACCTCTTCAAACGCCTCTATCGGCAAGACCTGATGGTCGCAGCACTCTTCCGGAACTTTCTGCTGGCAGAGAGAATCATGCGGTACTACGGCTGCACGCCATTGAGCTCACCGGTTCTCCCGCCCACGCATCAACACACGATGTGGCAATCATGGGACCTCGCCGCTGATTTCTGTGTTGCGCAATTACCTGCGCTGTTGAGCGGCGACAAGGACGGGAAGACGGCGGAATACCAGAACAGCACCTTCTTTGCGGAGCAGCTGACGGCGTTCGATGTGTGGCTGTCGAAAGGGCTGACCGCGGAAGATCCCCCAGAACAGCTGCCTATTGTGCTGCAAGTCTTGCTAAGTCAGATCCACAGGCTGCGCGCTATGATGCTGCTCAGCCGGTTCCTGGACATGGGACCATGGGCCGTCAACCTGGCGTTGCTTGTGGGCATCTTCCCATACGTCCTGAAGCTACTGCAGAGTCCCGCCCCGGAACTGAAACCTCTGCTGGTCTTTATCTGGACGAAGATTCTGGTGGTGGATCGATCTTGCCAGGCGGATTTGCTGAAGGACAACGGGTTCATGTACTTTGTCAAGCTGCTGAGCCCTGGAGCAACGATGCCGATGGCCCCCAACCCCTCCGGCCTGCGGACGATGTGCGCCTTCATCCTCTCCGTCTTCTGCCACAAATTCCCCGCCGGACAACAGGCCTGCTTGAAGGGGGAGGTATTACCCGCCATAGTAGAACACCTAATGGACGAAGACCCCCTCCTCCGGCAATGGTCCTGCATCTGCGCCGGCAAGGTATGGGAAGACTACCCGGAAGCCAAAGCAACAGCCATGGAACAAAACATGCACGAGAAGCTCATCCGGCTCCTCCGCGACCCCGTCCCCGACGTGCGCGCCGCGGCCCTATCCGCGCTCCGAGGCCTCATAGGCGGCGTGCAGAAAAGTGAGAAAGTGGCAATGATCCACGTCCACATCGCCAGCGCAGCCCTGATGACCGTCGCGGACGCCTCCCCACTCGTACGGCGGGAACTCGTATGTGCGTTGTCGGCGTTTGCAAGGGAGGATAACGAGCCGTTGGTGGCGATCGCGACGGAGATGGTTGATGAGACGCTGCAGATGCATGCCCCGCCGGCCAGTTCGGCGGCCGCGGCACCTCCCACCCACGCCGTCGGAAGCGTCTCCTCCCAACTCGCCGACTCCAACACCCCGGGCTCGGTTACAGGCCCGGATCGTCACACCCCACACGATATCCTCACACCCACAGCCCTGCGTACCCAGCAATACATCTGGAAAGGGCTGTTAACGCTCTCCGTTGACCCGTTCCCGGAAGTAGCCGTCGGGGCTTCCGCCCTCGTCGACCACATGATCTCTCAAACCCTCGTGTCTCGCTCCGAAGTCGATACGCCGCCTATAAGCAGCCAGGACGCCCCACCGATCCGGGGCCAAGCACGCAGTTTGAGCAGCACTAAAGGCTCGGACAGGTCCTCGGAGATGAATGGGATGGCGGAGGCTGTTAGTAGGCAGCTTTCGGTGGTTGCGGGGCAGAATGGGGATGCGGATGGGTCTAAACCGGCACCGGCGACGACCGCGACGATGACGACGACGACGAGTTGGACGGGGATCGATGTGGATGCGTTTTTTGAATGGAGTTGTACGTTTTTTGCGGAGCCGCAGATGCAGGTTGGTGTTTGGAGAAAAAAGGAGTTGCACTCGAGGCGATCTTCTGGTGGGGTATCCCAGTCGTTACTGACTGTTCTGTTTCATCCGCCATCTACCTATTCAGACACCAGACATCGACGACCCCGGAAGTCTCCGCTTCATCGAGCGACAATGGCGGACAGAGCGAAACAGGGAACTGTCCTCTGAGCAGTTGGTCACCCCCAGCTACGGCCGTAAGTGCACCCACGTGGGGAAATGCTCACTCCACCGTCAAGGGGAGTCCGTCGCTAATCGCATTTCTCGCGGACCAGCCGTGGAGATCCTACAAGAAACCGGTCGCTTGAACGTCCTAGGCACGGGTACGACCGAGATCGCGTTCCATTCGTTCGAGACGCATGCGTTGACGTCGAATGGGAGGTCCAACGTGATGTACGTGTTCTCAAGAATCCCATCCTCGAACGATCTTTTTTTTTTGCGTCTGACATTTTGTCGTCTGTTTAAGTGTCCACGACTGGTCCGACTCGACAAAGCTCCAAAACTTCGACATGGGCAACCCGCTCGGCAGCCGAATCTCCTACCTGCGCTTCATCAACGAGAACGATCTGACCCTCGTTGCCGTTGGTTCAGGTTTCGTTCCACTCCCCCACTCTTTCTCATCCTCTCGCTCGTATGCTCACCCCATCGCATTACAGACGACGGCGTCATAAAGCTCTACTCCGACTACGAAAAGCCCTACAAAATCAAGAAAATCTCCGGCTGGCGCGCGCTGCCTGATCTCGGGGCCGCCTCAACATCCGTGTCGACGGATTCGGTCGGGAGTCACCAGAAGTACCAGTCCCTCGCGGACCGCTCGATGGTGGTTGACTGGCATCAGAGTTCCGGGGTGTTTATGTGTGGCGGGGATAGCAAGGTGGTGCGGGTGTGGGATGCGAATAAGGAGAGTTGTGTACAGGTACAGGGGATGGGGATGGTATCCGTGTTTCAATGGGGCGGGGCGTTCTATGTTGCTCATGATGCTTTCGCAGGTCATACCCACGAAACACTTACGAGCAGTAACCTCCCTTTCGACACACAAAACGGGCGGAAACCTCATCTTCACCGGATTCGCCGACGGGCGTGTGCATGTCTACGATCGTCGGCAGGCGCCACATTCCAGGTTCATCCTCCCCTTTCCGGCCCATAGTCATCTCAACCGTCCGGGGCCATCGTTCTAACGCGGGGGCTTTATTTTCCCAACAGCCTCGTAAGATCCTACAAAGAACACCTCTCCCGCATCCTCTCCATCCGCCTCGTGACCGCAGCCGACGGCAGCCTGCTGACGTCCGGGAGCAGTAGTGGGGACGTGCGGTTGTGGGATTTGCGGCAGGCGGAGAGTGTAAGGCAGCTGGATGTGTTGGCGATGAGTGATCGGGGCGGTAGTGGCGGGGGTTACGCGACGCATGAGCAGACGCCCACCGCAGGGAGGGGGAGGGGGTGGTATGCGTTGACGAGCTTTGAGGTGCATCCTGGGGCGCCGGTTTTTGCGTGGTACGTAGTAAGGGTGAGATTGTGCGTTACGTGCCTGATATTCGTGGTTACTCATCATCCCCACACGGGACCCTGTGTTCTCCTTTCGTTTTGGCAGGGGCAAAGACTCGACCGTCCGAATCGGGGACATCGACGGGCACCTCCTCGGCACCACGCGGTCCACCGAGGGCGGCGGCGGGTTCCTCACGCAGCGCTCCAGCAGCAACGTCGGGCCCGTCGTCGCGCTCGCGTTCCACCCACAGCGCCTGCTGATCGCGAGCACGACCACAACGACGCCGTGGGTGTCGCTGTACTCCATGTCGACGGCGGCTACAGCGCCTGTTGACCCGAGCGATATGTTTGCGTAACCTGCACCGGTAATACATAGTTTCACCCCCTCCCTCTTCATGTCCCTTCGCACCATAGCCGTTTTTACGTACACTACTAGCGTTTGCTTTGGAGACCGTGTCATTTTTTTTTTCATTGTACCTATATACCGCAATGCATGACCTACGCTACGACGAAATTCTACGTTCTCAGAGTCACAGTCGCGTCTGGATAGTTGCCACAGCGTATCTTTTGCAACCCCCTCAGATCATAAATGCGATGCCGAACTTAACTACGCCGAACAGAGACGCAAATCAGCACAAAGGACATCTAATCTTCTCGCTTTGTTACGGAAACCTCACGCAGATGATGCCTTGGCAAACTCGCGTCGGCGAAGTAGTCCTTTTTTTTATGGGTTCAGCAAGCTTCGAAACGTCATTGGGGTTCGACCTCATATCTTTCATGTGCAGTTTATTCGTGAATATCACCTTGACTTCTCAAAATAAGAAATGTTGCCAAACTACTCATAATAAGAAAAGTGTTGTCCCAAACTATGAGATACATGCCACCAACCATCAATACGCCAAAGATCAGAAAGTAATAGGTATTATCCAAGCCCAGATTCCCTATCAAACCTAATAGAGCTCCTCTCACCCCGCCCTCCTCGCCCCCCTCCCCCTCGCCATCCGCTCCAACAACCACCGCTTGACCCACGTCTTCCTCACATCCGCCGCGCGCACCACACAAGTATCCAGCCACGGGGCGCGGGCGTGCAGCCGGTCGGCGTAGCGCGAGCAGAGGGTCGCGTGGCGGGAGTGCAGGTATTCGAGGGTGTGAGAGGCGGGTTGGTGGGTCATCAGCGTCGGGGCGTCGGGTGATGATGAGGATGATGATGGCCGTGGGATGGTCTGCGATACGATGAGGTCCTCATCGATTTCCATACCGCTGCTACTGCCCGCATCTCTTAGATGCACATCCCCCTCAAACGCCCTCGTCACATTCACCACCAGCGTCCGCAACCTCCTGGCCCCGTCCAAGAACGCGCCTATCGTGCCCTCGCCCTCGTCGCCCAGCTCGGGTAAATGCTCCAGCGCAATCTGCAGATTCTGTAAGCTGCTTTGCCACGCGCGCGGGATGCTGGCGAGGGGGACCACGAGTCCTTTTGTTGTCAAAGACCGAAGGTGGTGGGTTTGCGGGAGGCGGGTTAGAAAGTGGGGTTGATTTGATGATGATGAGAAGTGGGATGGTGATAAAGTGGTCTGTCGTTGGGTGAAGACGGTTTGAAGGAACGGCTGCATGGCGTTCAGGAACAGATCCCGTAACCCGGGCGAGGCTGCCGCAATCTGCGGGGTCAGGTGCGCGACCAGCGTCGGCGAATCCGTGCCATGCGCATGAATTGAGAGTGTACGGAGACGCGGTAATTGCAATGGTGTTGCCGCATATGGCGTGTTGCGGTAGGATTCCACCACGTCCTGATCCGCGGAAAGATTGTGCAAAGCTAGAGTGCTCAGCTGTGGGATGTTACGGAGGAGAGTAACCAGGCGCGGGAGGGAGCGGGGGTTGTGCAAGCGGAGAGTGGTGAGGTTTGCGAACGATGGTGTGGTGGCTTCCTCCATCGGGGTACCATACCCCGAATCGATAAGCATCGGTTCATACCCCATCGTCGTGGTGGTAGCTACCGGCCCCGCATCGTTGCCAAACTCGGGTTCAGCGGCAGCGGGGACGTGCGGCTGCGTCAACGCTTCAGCCTCCACAGCGGCGGCGCCGGTACCTCTCCAGAACTTGAGCTCGAGCTCTTGCAGGTTGGGCAAGGCGGCGATGGATGACCATAGAGCCGACGCAGCGATGTCGGTCGAGGATGTGCGCGTGAGGGCGACGTGGATGTGGAGTTGAGAGAAGTTGGTGATGATATCCTCGGACGAAAGAGATGCTGGTGGGGTGGAAATCATGTCGTCCTCGGCGGCTGGTGCCAATGCCGGGGTGACTGACATCAGGGGCTCCTGGTCGACGATCCCGTCCAACCGGAGGGCTGTGAGCAGCGGGAAGCTTTTCAGGAGCGGGATGACTGCATTTGTCGGAGCGTAGTTGCCACCGCCGAAACCGACGAGCACCAAACGCGTAAGACCGGGCGCGACCAGCATGTTCTCAGCGAGACTGGGCACATGCAGAGTCGGCACGACATTCGAGTCTCTGAATCTGCAGTGGACGAACTCCAGCGCGGTCAGAGTCGGGTGTTTTGCGAGGACGCAGCGTAGGATATGTTCCGCGCCGAGAAGGCCGAAGATGGGGCGGAGAATAGGGAGAGGGAACTCGCAGCCCGTGAAGGCCATGTGCGTCATCCCATTCGGGAGGGTGGTGAGCACATCTTCTAGCGTACGGGCTTCGATGTAGCATCCTCCTAGACTCAACTCCTTCAAATTCGGACAAGCTGCAACGATCTGTTCCATCTGCTGCACGGAGATCATCGCGTCGTCCCCATTCAAAGTCAAGGAGATCAAATCCGGAAACCGGGCCCTCCCAAACAACCCATCCACCATCTCCATCATCGCGTCAGAATGTAAGCTCCGGACCGTCAACCGCTGCAACCCCGGTACCGTGTCAAACTCCAAATCCTCCCACCCTTCCGCAGCCATAAGCAAGGGAACGTTGATATCGATGGTGGACAGGCCCTTACGGAAAATGACGTCCAGCACGCTGCTGGTGTTGCGGTAAACGTGCTCACAGGGCGCTTCGAGAGATTCGCGGACGGACAGGTGGCGGAGTTGCGGGGTCACGTCTGGGTGGAGGATGTTGATCATGTTGTCGGAGGTTTCGGTGGTGAAGCTGGAGATGCTGGGCATGCGGGCCAGACCGTTGGAGAACTCGAGGAGATGTTTTGGGAACTCTTCATCTTGATGGAGCTAACGGACGGATTTGAAGGAAAAGTAAGTTTTTGGCCTGTAGTGTTGCTCGTCAGAACAACTGAGCCCTCGCGGGCACTTGCCCAGCCCTCGTCATCTCTCGCCAAAGACCTACCTCTAGCCTCTCAACCCTCTTAAACCGCGCCAACACTTCCTTAGCGCCAACGCTCAACACCTTCTCCCCAACCCTCAACGAAAGCACATCCGTCTCCCCAAACCCGGCCTTCCACAATCGACACGCTCCACTTGCAACCGCCTGCTCGCGGATACTTAGGAACGAGAAGATGTGACGCACGAGCTCGCAGGGGAGGTCGCGGGACCATGAGCGGTTGACGGTCGTTATATCCATAGTGTTCGAGGACGGCGTTAGTGTAGATATGTACACGCCTGTCCCTTTTTACAAAGATATATACAAGGCAGGTATGTACAGCCACGGGCCGGAGGACTTGACGACCTTTCTCTCGCAGGCAAGGTCGCTAACTGATTTTCTCGGGTTGACGAGGAGGATATGTTCGTTCGGAAGGACGATGGGATGTCGATGGAAATGGTCGAAAGGAATTGTAATTTCGGCGAAAGATGGAACGCGAGGTGAGGCGGCGCTGCGGTGGGTATATGAGTGCCACTTTCCTGCTCTTCTCCTCCTCTGTTTGCTGACTGCAGCCATAATTGGTAACACCATGTAGGGTCAGCGGTTGGTGGGATTCTTCCCATCTTACCCAAAATAGTGTCCCGGAGTTGTTCGGCGTGCGGGTGCCTGCGGAGTCCAGTCCGATAGGAGCCGATATCAACGTGCACAGCCACCTGGGTAACTAATTGTCTTCACAGCCACCGGCACCTCAACACGTCTCCGTCTTGGCCTCGTCTCGCGCATATATAAAGCACGCACCATACTGTACCTCGACCGCCCCCTCACACCTCCAACACTTCAAAAACAACACCCACAGAACCATCAAACATGCTGCCGTCCTCTCCACCCACCCTAAACCTAACCTACTTCAACATCTCCGGCCGCGCCGAACCCATCCGCCTCGCCCTGCACATCGCCAACATCCCCTTCACCGACACCCGTCTCAAAGCAGGCTGGGCGGAAACCAAACCCAAAACGCCCTACGGCCAAGTCCCCACTCTCGCCATCACATTCCCAGACACCGGTGGTGGCACCCACACGGCTGCCCAAGCCGACGCACTCCTGCGCTATGTCGCCCGACTGGCTGACCCCGTCCATGGCCTGTACCCCGTTGAGGACCCGCTGGCGTGTTTGAAGATCGACGAGCTGGTGCGTGCGTGCGATGATGTAGATGCTCTGATCTCGCCGACGATGGACGAACCCGACGCCGAGAAGAAACGCGCCGCCCGCCGGTCCCTGATCGCCCCGGACGGTAGACTCACCACCTTCCTCACCAAAGTGGATAGGAGGTTGCAGGCCGATGGGTATGTTCTGGGTGGGGAGAACCCGACGATTGCGGAGTTGACTTGGCATGGGATGCTTTGGTGGTTGAAGTCGGGGTTGTTGGATGGCGTGCCGAGGGATTATGTGGATGGGTTTGAGAGGCTGGCGAAGTTGCATGAGAGGGTTGATGGGCATCCGAAGGTGAGAGAGTGGAAGGGTAGGCATCAGGAGTAGCCAGCCACCTTGGATTCGGGTTTCGGATTGGGCTTAGCATTAGCATCGACGGTGTCGCTTCGATTTCATTCTGTATATATGACTTTCCCACGGCAAAAAAGAACTTTTGCGAATGGCGTATTTGTTCATATACGTACGTATCATACCGCACCCAATGCGGAAACGAAGACCCCACTCCAAAACCGACACTGTATTACCATTTGAAAGTTGACACGGATTGACGGGACCTGTCAATCCGTCACAACTGGACCAAAAAAGAATCTCCGGCAAAGGGTATTACTGTATATTCAAAAGAAAGTGAAAAGGGATCCAAGTTCCACAAACTGCCGGAAAACAGGGGTTCTAGACTAGATCAGGCTAACAATCAGGGCTACCAATCAGGGGAGTGAGAAACGGGAGATGTGAGAATGTACAGTTCAAACTCGAATCAAAAGCACGAGCTCCCGTATCTGTCGTGCGCGAGAGGGGCGAAACAGGAGGGGGAGTCAGGAAACAGATATGATACAAAACAGAGCAGGACTGCCGCTATGAAATGGGAATGGCACAAATGAAAGATGCAGAATATGAAAAAAACCAAGCGAAGCAAAAATCCAAACAAAAGCAATACGAGACTTCACCAAAAGACCTCACATCCTCGCGGAGCGCATCTCACAAGCCGAGACCAGCGCACCCAACCTCGACGCCGTACATCTCGCCATCCGCGCCACGGCGTCATCCACTTTCACTCGATTTTCCTTGTTAGCATCCCAATGCGCATCCGAGGCGCGCCGCTTGGATGGAATGGATGAGGGTTGGGACAGTTCGGATGTGGCGATCTCGCTGGGGGCGCGGGTGAGGTCGCCGGAGTCGATGATGTAGTTGCAGACGGTGGCGAGGACGTCGAGGGGGTTTTGGGTGGGGAGGGAGCGGCGACGGTGGGTGTTTGTGACGACGTGGAGGGGTGGGTGCACGGCGCGGGGGTGGTTGGGGTGATGGGTATCGTCGAGGTCTATGTCCCAGTCGTCGTCGGCGGAGCTTATGGGCGGGATTAAGGAGACGGGGATGCTTGCGGTAGTGAGCTTTTGGGTGACAGCTGGAGTGGCTTCGTGCACCGGAATTTCGTCGTACGATGCGGCTAGTGAGGGTTTCCGGTAGGGTGGTTTGCTCACAGGGCTGGCGTCGGAGACAAGTCCGCGGATCGCAGCCATGCTGTCATCATCGCTCGCCTCGTAGCAGTCTTCGCACGCGTCGCTGGTCCCGGCTGCGGAGCACTGGCTTTCCGAATCTTGCTGCAGCCGAAGGGTATCGACAGACGCATTGCTCGCCCGTCGATCGTCCTGCACCACATTCTCCTTCTTAACCTCGACATCCGCGTTATCATACGCAGAGCTCTCCGAGTCCGTATCCTCCTCCTTATACCGTGGCCTCTTGACGTCGGGGACCCTCATGGATTCGGACGCGTCTTGGCTTGACCCGCCGCGGTAGGTGGGATACGCCGTGAAGGAGATGATGGGTTGCGGTTGTTGGATGGCGGGGGATTGCTCGATGGGGCGGGACCGGAGGCGGGAGACGGTGTGTTTGATGTCTTCATCCTGATGGAAAGAGATGTCAGCCACTCCGTATCCAGTCAACGACCTGCCAAATGCAACAACGACACAAACCTTGAACCCCTTAGCGTGCGGATTATAATTCTTCTTCAAAGTATTCACCTTCTGGCTTTGATAATGCGTCACCGCCATAAACCTTGTCTCCTCAAATACATACGTCGTCACCACATCTCCGCCGGCAAGGTCAGCGCCGCGCTTGCTGCCGATGGTAAAGGACTGGCTGTGCTTGATGAGATGCACGCGCGGCTGGTATTGGTGGAACGAGCGGAGGAGGAAGTAGCCGTCGGGGACGAGGGAGGTGGAGGTGCTGGATGGGGGGGTAGCGCTGTTGGTGAGCTTGATTTTGGAGAAGTTGGCGGGGTGGGAGGTCCAGTATTCTCCTGCGATAAGGCATAACAGTAGCTAAGAACACCGTAACTACAACGCGACGTACATACGCATGACCAGTACAAACCTGTCTGAATCCCAACAGGAAGGATATGCGCCCTACAAGGCCTCGGAAGCTCATTCTGAGCATTCGGCTCGTCATCACTCTTCGCCTCTAAGACGGGTGCCCACATTCCATCCTTGTAGCTGAATCGGAAGCGCTGCGGGACGCTTTGAACGATATCCAACGCGATAGAGTACAGTGCGGTAGGGTCGAGGTTGCCGAACTGGAAGCATAGGGTGGGGAACATGCAGCGGCCGCTTTTTGTTACGATCATTTCTAAAGAGGGGTCCAAACATATTAGAAACGAGTAGCCACATCCCGGAAATCGAAGGGTTGCAATGATGATTAATGCAACGTCAGCACATACCATTCCCAAAAGCATGAAACTGGGCCCACAACTCCGCATTATCCAACATAACCGTCACTCCCGCGACACCGTCTCTCCCATCTCCCAAACACTCCCGCCGCAAGCGTTTGTACATCCCATCGTCGTCGTTGGGCGTGAAGGTGATGGGCTTGGCGCGGGTGCTGCGAGTGACGCGTGTATCATCACTTGGGTGGATCTTGAGCGCAGTGTCCGCGCTTTGGTTTCGGTCGCGGAGCTGGGACGGGCCACGTTTGGAGGTTGCGCGGCGCTTGGTGAACGGTTGGTACTCTGTTGTGATGAATGATTGAAATGATGTGTGAGATGTTAGGCCGCGAGAGCACTTCACACAAGCATTCAGAGACAGAGGATGGGGGATGAAGTGTGTTAAAGGCTCAGTAAGTTAGATGCATGGATCTCTTACCATCGCCGTCAGACTGCGCGCGCTTGCGAATTGAACGTCCAGTGGTTTCGCCCATAGTGACTTGGATCGTCGATGGGACAGTAGGTGGCCTCGGGGGATTGTGTATCACACCTTGTCGGCAGAGGAACTGCGTCAGTCAGAAATGACCGATTAAGCTGATTGAATCGACACAGTACGATTCCAGCCGGCGTGCTAGACGGAATGAGGTAGCTGCGGCGCTTGATGGATGTGTTAACCTTGTAAAATGCGAGACGACTGATACGACTGAAAAGTGATCGGGTATTCCAAAGACCGTCCGTCGGAAGAGTGACGGTCGGAGTTGGAAAACACTGAGCTGGAGAAGGACGCCGGTTCTCGCAAGGAGACTCTATCTATTCTATGAAGCCAGCACAGCGCCGGATCAGCGACAGATAGGATTCTGGGTGGTGATCTGGCGGCTCTGAAGCAGGTGTTCGGTTTTATAGGCGTCCTGTGATTGCTTGGTTGTGTGAGGAGGCAGACCGTCGGAGCGCTCCTTTTTTCTGAATGGGCTCTGCGGGCGCTTGTCCGAATGGCTCATTGCCAGGTCCGGGGGCTCCAGTTCCAGTCGCGCGCAAGGGAGACGGGGAGCTCATGTCCCGATCCTCCCCGACCGCAGCGTGCCCCTTGTGATGAATGGGAAGCGTTAAGCGAGGGATCCAGCCGCTTCTTCCCCCCGCTTAGCCGCCTCGCCTCGCCGTATCCCGCTGTCATTTTCCCACTGTTCCCCCCGTTGTCTTTTGCCCCCCCCGTCATCGCCTGTCAGCGCGTTTCCCCCAATGTCGCTCACTTTCCCACGCAGAGCAAACATGAGGAATTGGGCTTCAGGGGCGCTTCCCGCCTTTGTTTCATTTTTATTTTGAGAGATGCTGTCCAATGAAGAGTTGTTAGATCCTTGTTCAAAATACTTACCTTATATTTGGAATGTGCCGTCGTCATTCTGAATTTCCCACGGAATAACAACCAGAGATTCCCATCGCGATGTGCCCGCCGCAACGAGCAACCGCTCCATGTTTGTATAAAGAGCGATGCCTGAAAGAAAAATCGATTGCCAATGCCGCGAACTGCCCAGAAAACGTTGCTGTGCTCAAATGCAATCGCTCGTCTGCTCCATTCATGTTCATATTACATGTATGTACAATCAAAAGGTATCGAGAACGCAAGGGTGTGCGAGCGGGATGGTGCCGTGCCAAATCGATATCACGAATGCGAAGCTTTCAATCGGTGTACGCAAAATCTAAGTGAATTTTCATTATGGTGTGGTATTTGTCGTCGATCTGCTCCTCAGAGGGACAGGATCTGTCCAGCGCCTCCAGCCTGTAACGATGCAGAACACGGTCAGATCCCGCCATTCATGCCGCATGTCTCCTAAGTTCTGGCGAGGCCAACCCGCACATCGAACCCAAACCTACTTCAATAATCTCAATCTCCCTCGCGCTCAACGTCCTCAGTCGCCTAAACCGCGGCGGCAACTGCTCAAAGCTCTCATACGTTATCGTGTTGCCCGACCGCTTGGGCGGCGCCGATTGTGGTGCGAGATTCAGACCGGCCGGCATGTTTGCTGTTGCTGTCTTTGAGGGACTGGACGCTGAAGATGGTTGGTGATGTTGTAGAAGCTTTCGCGAGCCGAGGAAGCGGATCAGTGGGATGTGCTTGCCGGGGAACGTCATATTGCGGAAGAAGGACGACGGGCGAAGTACAGCTAGGGCGCTATGATAACTTGCAAGAGTTTGCTTCGACTGACAAACAGAATGGTGTTAGCTTCCGTTTGCATGCAGAGAAGCAGAACGAGGCGGACATTGTGCCAATACCGAAATTAGATTTTGTTTTTCACAAGCTGTTTGAAATGGAAGCTTAAACTTGGGAGCGAAGGTTGGCCGTGCGCTGAATATCTGGTCCTCAAAGACTGTACTGTTGTTGTGATGTTGTGATGAGCAAGGGATGTCGGTCGTTGACAAGAGCGTTGTGAGGTGCCCGTATCTCCGAATTCACTCATTCGCATTTATTTAATTGCACCCCGTCCTCTTATCTGATTGAGCTTCTCGCGGTCGTCCGTTTTGCGAGCGTTCGCATCCTCAGCAACAATCGCAAACATGGCAGCCTTCCCAAACTTCCGCCGCATCTACCAAGACTTCCGCACGCCCGCCGAAGAGAAATCAACCGCCAACACCGCCGTTTACACCTTATGCGCTTACTGCGTCATATGCGCCCTCATGACCGCTTCCAGGAAGGCCGCGTTCCCTGCTTTGCCTGCGCAGTGAGACTGGGATTGGAGATGAAGAGGGCGGAGCGCGGAGGAATGTGGTGCTGTTGAGTTGCGCTGGGGCTCACTAGCTGGTTGAATTTCATTTTGGGGAAAGATCAGTCGGATACTGAGAGGAGAGGAGGATGACCGCGTTGTTCCAAGCTGCGAGGCGGAACTCTGTCCATTCTGCCATGAAAGCGCTCAGGCCACGGAATCTCGCTCGATCCGACCAACTTAGGACACGGGCCCGGGGCATCTCGTCACATCAATCATCTAATTGCGCTTAGGGAAGCTCTGCTGCACTCGTCTTCACGGCGCTCTGCAACATCCGAGATGGGCTTACGCGAAGCAACGACGGAGCAGTAGGACAGGTTTTACCGCAAAGCATCCCCACTCTTCATAATCAGCGAGTGCCCCGCCCCGAACTCTGCGGCCGGGAGAGCTCGGTAAACTGACGGACGAACCAAAACGCCGTTGTACATACCTTTTAAAGAATGGAGTTTGTCTATCGACGAGGGCTTTTGAAACTGCCACTTGAGGAGACTGTATGGAGGATCCAGCAGCGCGTCCAAGCCGGATGTGTTATCCACATGATTGGGAGGTTGGCGGGCTTTGTGAATGTGTGCCCGTACACGTGCTCAGTTCTCGAAGCCGAAGGAAACGGAAACCGACCGAACGCAATTTTGCAGCCAAAGGTGGCATCGTTGAGTGTGAGGGACACTCTTGCGCGGGAAGGACGTCGATAATGGGAGCGAGAAAGTCGGGAGACCGGAGAGACTAGCGAAGAGACTTATCGGCACACGTTTTACGAATCTGCTTCTCTCCCGTACCTATGTTCGATTTTCAAGAAACCCCTTTTCCCAAGATGTCCTTTGGCCGCGGTCAACTCGCTCGGACATGCCTTCTATGTTGTGAGAGGGACTCTCTGGAGTGGGGAACAGCACTTTTAGATTTGGTTTTCGTTTGACCACAGTTTGATCTCCATCAAGTATCCCGGATAACACGAGAACTGGCATACGCAGGTGCATTCTTCGATGCGATAAATTACAAGTAAACGAAATAATGATATGCTTTGTACAATGCGTTGTCGCAGACTGGGGATGGTGAACCTTCCTACGCACCCCAAACCGGTGATTTTCTAAGCTCCTGCAAGGGTGACCACCAAAGTCAATCGGTCAGCTTGCTCAAAGCCTGCGTTCTAAGCAAACGCAACAACTTACCCATCTACCCCCGCCCACCGATTTACTAAGCTCATGCATGATCTTCGAGTACGGTGCGACGGGCACCTCGCACTGCTTTTGAGCTTTCGTGACTTCGTTGATCTCCTTTTTGGCAATGACGTCTTTTGAGCGGAAGAGGTCGATTATGATGGGGCGGAACTGGATGGGTGGAGATTGGGAGGGGGTGAGTTCGCCTGGTGAGTGCTACGAACTGCAAAGGAGGTTATGGTTTTCAGACCTCGTCGATTTGCGCGTGACCCACGGACTTGCGAACCCACAGGTCGTCGCGGATCTGGACGCAGAAGGATGCGGTGGCAGCGACGATATCCTCCCTTGTCGTTCCTAACAAAATCACATGAATTCTCGACGCGACATGATGAGACCTTTACACGTGAAGACGCACCTGCATCCTGGGCCAAAACCGCACTGGCAATATAGTCGCCAGATATGACGTAGTTCTCCGTGTACAGATTGGCGATAGCGGCAACTACGTGCTGGTGCACAGTACCACCCCTGGCAGGTGTGTTGGCGGCGGGAGGGGCGGATGGGGCTGGAGCCGGCGCGGCGGCAGGTGGAGGCCCTGCTGAAAATATTTCACATCATCATATCAGCGTCTCGGGTAGACAGTCAAAGACGACTGTAAGGCGCGGCTTACCTTGGGCCTTGGCTGCTGGTTTCTGCGTAGACGCGGATGCCGCTGCCGAAGCTTTTGCTGCCGCAGAGGCAGACGGTGGTCGCTTCGCCGCCGCTTTTGCCGCCGCCTTGGGTAGCGCCGCCGGCTTTACAACCCGCGGCTCCCAGAGCAATCTAGCCTCCTGCGCTTCAGCTTCTACCGTCATGGCTTGCTCCACCAACACATCGTCGAAACTGAATCGACAGTCAATTAGCCTTCCGGACAGCAATGACTAGAATCTCCAAGTGGTGATCAGAAGGCACTCACTCGGCAACAAATTGCTCGTCCGGAGCAACCTTCAAAACCCATCCCTTCCCAGCCTCCAGCACCGCAATCTCGGACAGCATGCTCGTCGCCATCGTGCCGGGGATCCGCACGTAGTCAGAGAATTCCCGTCGGGATATGTACTGGGATTGTTGGAACATGTACAGCAGCCAGCGCCGGGCATGGAGCGCGTAATCTGTGTACATGAGCTCACTGCCATCCCGCGAAGGCCGATCAGTTTCTGATGTATTTTGCCGAGACATGGAGTGTGATGGCCGTACCTTCGGACGATCCAGACCCCACGCACAAGAACAGCCGCGGCGCGGAGGCTTGCAAGCAATTCCTCCACATCCAATTCAGTAATATTGCCGAGCATCTTCGCTATCGTGTGGAATTGGGCGACGTTTGCTGATACGGGAATGATAGTGTGAGTGCCACAAGCAGACAATCATGATCCGCGAGCGCGCTTCGGAACCATACCATTCATCAAGATTGCTTTGACCTTCTCCGCTAACGTCAACTTGGCAATTTGAGTCAGTGTGAGGCCCTTCCTCACTTTGATGTGACTCGCGTCGTAGCTGGGTAGAATTGCGGAGAGATAAGTACGCGCCGCCTTGCTGAGTATGCGCGATTGGCCAGCATACCTTTGCGCATTGAACGTCGGGTCCAGATCGTTCAGGTACCCGGCTGGAGTAGATGTAACATCGACATCTCCCTCACTCGTCGAGTAAAGCTGCGCGATGACTTTTTTTGATAGTTCTGACTACATCCACGCATTAGCGTCGAGCGACAACACATCCTTGCACTTCCGCGCACATACCTCAGCGTGATGTATAAACATCTTCTGCCACGCCTCCTCCTCAGCCTTCCGCTGCAGCTCTGCTTGGGCTGCTCTGCGGATACCTTCCTTGTCCTCCGGCCCTTTAATGGTAACCTGAAAAGACCAAAGGTGCATGTAAGAAACTCCACTACACATCGTTGCCGACTAGCTTATGCACTAACCGAAAGAATCTTCGCCTCTTCTTCGTATTCGGGGTTTGCTCGCTTGTTCGCCTCCACCGAGTCCTCCTGATACCGCGCCGCCTGCTTCTCCGTGATCTTATCGATGTAGTATAAGCTCGGACGCAGTTGTAATGCCATGTTGATTGGTGTCAAGTGCAATTGATCTGCAGACACCGGGTTGTGAGAACGCAGCTACACGACCCTCGCCTGCCCCCTTTCACAGAGCCCTGCAAAGGTTCCGCCACGCACCTTCCTTCATAACGCCCACCATATAGTTCGCCTGCGACGGCAACAACGACGAGCTAAGCGTCTGCTTCTCCAACAATTTCTTCGGCGTATGGTCATCATAATCATACACCCCCCGCATCGGCGCATTATCCGTCCCCTGCCCCAACTCCTCGCCCCTCTCCTTGTTGTAATACTCGCTCCCCGTCTGCAGCGGGATATCAATCTCAAACCGCTTCGTCTTTGGCTTCACACGGCCGACGGAGGGTTTGTTGTCTTCGTCAAAGTCGTGTAGCCGGGTTGGGAATTGGAAGAGGTAGAGGGTGTCGGTGAGGGTGTGGGAGAAGAAGACGTCAATCTCTTTGACGATGTGGTCGCCGTCTTCGTCTACTTCCGCCTGTCCCGCCGGGTTTTCCTGCTCGTCGTCGTCTTCTATCATTTCGTCGTCTTCTACCATTTGGTCGCCTTCGTCGACGTCCATAAGGTCATCCACCTCGTCGGTCAGGTCCATAGTGTCTGACATTTTCTGTGCTTTTCGTGCGGCACCTATCGGACTCCCCGAGTTCGCTGTCAAGCAAGGGTATGTGGACCCTGACGCAGATCGTCAAGGCTGGAGGAATGGGACAAGTGTGGCCGTCCCAATTATGTTCAGCAGACGATCCCACGAGGAACGAGGTGCTTTGATACTTTGAATTTATTACGCCTCCACTAGTCGGACAAAGGCTATAGCATCCATCGAGTATGTATAGTTTGAGGTTCACAGGTATACTGTAGGAGTGTAGGCTTACAAGGTCAAAAAATATACAATGGCGTGAGGTTCGACTTCAAGTCTATCCGGTTGGACATGGACATGGTGCGAAAGCCTTCCTCCCGTTGCATGCAATGACGTTCTCAATAATACCAGCCACAACGACGCTCACCCTCCTAACAGCCCTCACCTCCCTCCTCCTCCTCGTCGTCCTCCGGTTCATCGCCCTCCTCCCCTACTCCACGCGCCCCCAACCCCCACCACGACAATCAAGCCACCCCCGCAAAGCACCATGCAAGATCTGCATCATCCTCGGCTCAGGCGGGCACACCTCGGAAATGCTGCGTATGCTCGATACTCTGCCTACGGAGCGATATAGCCCGCGGTGTTATGTCGTTGCGGAGTCTGATACGGGGAGTGGGGATAAGGCTGTTGCATATGAGAAGGCGAGGGCGGGTGGAGAGGGGCATACAATGGCTTCAGCGCCATCGGCAGGTACAACTGCTGGTACAGACGATACCGGCATCACCAACAACATTATTGTACCAGCATACACCATCCACAAAATCCCGCGTGCACGCTCCGTCCACCAATCCTACCTCACGACACCCCTCTCATTCCTACGTGCCGCCTACGCGTCCGCCCAGCTCCTGTTCACCCTTCGCCCGGACATCATGATCTCCAATGGGCCAGGCACCGCGTTACCGATGCTCTTGCTGGCGTTCCTGACGCGTATATTGCCGCTGCCGGAGAGGATATGGCGCCCGCCGCGGCTGCTGTATGTGGAGAGTTGGGCGAGGGTGAAGAGGTTGTCGATGACGGGGCGGATTTGTTGGTGGTTTGTGGATCGGTTTTTGGTGCAGTGGGAGATGCCCGGGATGAAGGGGGTGGAGTTTGTGGGGAGGGTTGTATAGGTTGTGGCGTAGGGAGGGAAGCGATCCTCTGTAAGAGTGCGATGCGCAAAGGCATGAGGTGATTTGATTTTATGTATGTACAAGGACAGTAATCCATATGTCCCGCATTGATTCACTTGTTAATGACGCAAAAGAAAATATGACGTTGAAGACGATGTTTGTAGATGCTGAGAAAATGAGACCATCCCAGAGGTTGCAACGTCTACCTCGATTCCGAGCCGGCCGGTTTGTTCGGGTCCGTCGGTTTATCGGTCGTCATGAACACAGATTTGAACCACTGCATCGGCTTGGACAGCGGCACGAACGTCGGTGGTGGCAACCCTCCTTTCTGCGCTGGAACCACCCCCCTGACCATCTTCACTGCTCTCTCCAGATCTGGACCCGGCTTGTCCTCCCTCTTTGGCACAACCTTCACTCCGGCGGGCCCAACCTTCACGATCCCATGCACCTGCAGCAATCTCTGCACCGCCAAACTCTTCTCCACTAATATCTGATCTTTCTGCATCCTCTGCACTGTTGCCGCGTCGGGCATGCGTGTCGGCTCACGTGCGGAGGCGTAGCCCATCTTTTTGATGTGCTCGTCTAGATCGCGGTATGCCCGCGCTAACTCGGGGATGGAAGCGACGCGAGAAAGGAACTTGGCTTTGTATGTTGGGTGGGTGCGGAGGATTTCCGATAGCTCGTCGCGAGATCGATATGTGATCTCAATGTCGAGAGGACCCTTCGAAGAGCTCGAGCTGTTGCATCTTTCAAAGAGACGCCGTCGGAGAGTGACTGTGCATTGTGATAGTTGTGCAGCGTAGCGCAACCGCCTTGCTGCCTGCAGCCGCTGGTTCATCGTTGCTATACAAACGTTTGCGCCTTGCCTCATGGCAGGGGTGACGGAGGCCATGGTGTGCGGAAGTGGACGGCTGTCCTCAGGAGCGTATCGAAGAAGAGCCCGGAGCAGCGTAAGGTGTGTATCTAACCTCCGAACCGAAACCAACAATCGAATGAAGCGCTTGGGCCACTGTTGAAACGTTTACTCGGTCAGTTAGATGAACCGCAGCTGTAATCAACAAAATGGAATGACCTTACCTAGCGGATCGAGCTAATCCTGACTTGTAGAGCGCGTAGGAGAGAGGTTTCCAAGCCGCGAAGGTGCTACTGTTACGTATGAGAAGCGGGTGTGCGAGTGTGTGGGGGTCGGTATAGACGATGGGTGGACGAATATGGATGTTTTGCCAGGAATGGGGTTTGCCTGGAGCCATGGAACCTTGGGACTCTGGGACTCTGCTTGGGACTCTTGGGAGGGGTGAGACGCGGCGCCGTTTTTGTCGTCCTCAGCAACGCCTTTCCGCAGCGCTCAATCCCTCGCTGAGAAGCGCCGCACAGAACACAACCGTCTTCCCGGACTAGATCTCGCAACAATGAGGTCCGCAGCAGCACCGTTGCAGGCCGCAAGGCAAAGGTGCCTGAACACCCCGCTTCGATCACAGAATGGCTCGGTTCGACCCTTCACTACAACCCCCGTCCCACAGTCCATGATCGGTCGCCGAGTCCTCAAGTACCCCCACGAAGTAACGATCGGAGTAGAGCCCTTCCTCCCCACACCCTCCTACCCCCGCTGCACCAACCAAGTCACCGTCAAAGGCCCACGAGGGAGCCTCAGCATGCCCCTCCAGCCATTCGTATCCGTCGAGCTCGCAGCACACGACCCCACCGCCCCAAAGAAATCCCTCTCGGTCTCCATCACCGACACAAAAGACCGGAAACAGCGGGCCATGTGGGGCACGACTCGGGCGTTACTCGAAAACATGGTGGAAGGCGTGCACGAAGGCTTCACGGTCCCGATCAAATTCACGGGTGTTGGTTACAGGGCGCTGTTTGAGCAAGGGAAGCTTAGCTTGAAGTTGGGATACTCGCACCCAATCTTGATGGAGATTCCGGAGGATGTGGAGGTCAAGATTCCTGCTCCAACTCGGTTGATTTTGCAGGGGAACGATTTGGAGAAGATTACGCAGTTTGCGGCGTTGATTAGGAAGTGGAGGCCGCCAGAGCCCTACAACCAGAAAGGGATCTTTGTTGGGGATGAGACGATCAAGAAGAAGGAGGGCAAGAAGCGATAGATGTGGGATGTGGGTCCACTATGGCTGGTCATCGCATATGTTAGAACGTCAAGTCTTGTGTATATACATGCAATAAGTTATCGAGCCGAAGAAACTCTTCAGTCTTACGATGGATGGTTTCTCTAGCTCTGGTAGTTGCTCTGTCAAATTGATCAATGTGTGGGACGGCCTAGGTATCACCGAACTGTTACCCCTGATGTAGCGAAGTCCTAAGTCTGAAAGTATGTCAGTTGTTGTGCTATGGTCGAGTCTGCGAGTGTCGAAAAGCAAGTGGAAGCTGGAGTGGAGGGGTGAATCGGAAGCACCTCTGAAGCCCCTCGTACAGATTCCAGAAAGCAACATCGAGAAAGCTCAACAGACCGAGGCGAGCCCACTCACAGCATTCGGCCCCTCCCAAGCAGCGAATGCCCAAGAAACAGCAGAGCCTAAAGCAAAAGTACGCCGCCGCAGTAAAGTCCCGCATCTCAGAGCCCACCGGTTCCCACTCCTCTCCTCTTTCACAATGGCCCCACCCAATAGCAGCATCACCTTCACCGCAACCCTCAGTCCACGACCTCCTATCCCGCTTCCGGCCCCCCCGACCGCGGAACGGTAACCTAGCCCGCTACGGTGAATCTAAAGTCCTCGACACGTACGCATCCTACGGGCATCATATCCAGCGGATAGAATCCACCGCCGCGCAATCGAATGTGACTGTTGCGGGACCTGCTCCACCGCCGGGGTGGAGGGCGGCGTGGCGGGAAGCGGTGCCGGTTAGTACTCCCACTGTGATTCCCACAGACGGGTCCAACCCTCGCGTGCGTTCGCTCGTCGATCTCTGTGTCGACAGTGTAGCGCAACGGATTAGGGTGTACAGGCAACGCCAGGCGGAATTTGCATGCGTGCCATGGCACCTGAAGGAACGGATCCTGCAACGGGTGTGCGAGACATCCCGGCTCGTGAATGATTTATTGTGTTTGTTCAGGGATCCGGAGATGAGGGTGCTTGTGTTGGCCAACTCGTCGGTGACTGTGAAGGGGCTGGCGGGGCATTTCGATACCTCGGCTACACCCGTGGTGGCCGGTGGTTCACAGCCATCCACAGAGAGGAAGGAAGAGGAAGTGCTTGAGTCATGGGAAGACGCGGCGGACCTCGCGGAGATCACACCCATAGTGCATCAACGCCCGCCCTTTGCGAACCTGCACACGCTCTCCATCTCGCATGCGGTGGGGATTACCGCTGTTCCGTTCACGCATCTCGTTTCTAAAGCCCTCCCGAACTTATACGTTCTCGATCTGTCCGGTTGTTTCGACTCGCAGCACGGTCCGCACGCTCTGGGTATCCTCGCCTGCAATTTGGTGGGATTGAAACTGTTGAATCTGTCGGGGTGCAAGTGGGTGACGAGGGAGGTTGTGTTGGGCGTTGGGTGGGAGGCGCGGTGGAGGGAGATGTGTGTGTTGGTGGTGAGGAGGTGTGGGGAGGGGTGTGAAGGTGTGGTAGAGGATTTGCGGAGGGTGAGGCGGGGTTTGGCGGTTGTTTGTGATAGGGCGGCTGGGGGTGCGGAGTGGGAGGGTGCCGAGTGTGGGGTTTCGCGCGGTGGTGTTTCGCGGAACCAGGATAGAGGGTCGTATGCGGGGCCGTATTGATAGATGTACACAAGTTTTGGCGAAGTCACTCCACTTCAAACTCGGCTCTCGTATCAGGATTTGCGAGTGACCATGATAGATGGATATTTTGATAGTGGTGTACAAAAATAAGAAGCATACGAAACTGGTAACGGAAAAGATTTCCCCTCACCAACAGACTAAAAATCGAATCTGAAACGAAAAGAAGCAACGAACCCCTTATCTAGCGAACCGGCCCGACTAACAAGCACAATAGGCGGATGCACTGGACCCCCCTTTTTCAAAGCTGAGAAGCTACGCCATGCACATCACCAACATGCTGTTCTCTTTCCCTTCAGCACTTCACATGCCCGCACGACGTATCGTTCGTCTGCACGCAGGCCAACAGGGACCCTGCGACACGACCGACATCTAGTATCGACGGCGATCCCTGTCATCGTCGTACCTCTGATACTCTCGGCCGTACCGATCGTCATAGCGATCCCTGTTGTGAGAAGTATGCCGACTCTCGTATCTGTCAGAGGAGCGACGGCGTTCCCTGGGGTCGTAGCGGTCGTAGCGGTCGTAAGGGTCGTAGCGATCGCGTCCGTAACGTCGTTCATCTGAAGGAGGGGCGAGTGAGATCTATGGGGTTGTTGGTGGGGGAAGTCGATAGATACCGTCTCGTTCACGGTCAATGGGACGAGGTGCACCGCAGTAGCGGCCCGGCGTAGGATCTCGAGCACGGCTTCGCTTTGCCTGGATGCGGCATTCCGAGTTTTCGTTAGCGGCACTAAGGTTTCTCCGCCGCCAATCTGACGATTCGTACCATTTGGACACGGAGAACTTTGCTGTCTAGCTCTACTCTTCCGTCGATTCCCACCCGTGCCTCTTCGGCGTGCTCGGCCTTTTGGAAGGTTACGAAACCAAAACCGCGCGATTCTTGAGTGTGGGGATCAAACCTAGGATCGTGAGACGTGCGTAAGTCGCATTGTGGGTGAATGGATAAACCAAACGGCAGTTGCGTCCATAAACGCACACTATCTCGGCTTTGCTGATCTGATCCATGATGAAAGTCAAAAAAAAAAAAAGGTGAGTAACTCCCAACTCGGATACCAAAAAACGTGACGATATGAACTTTTCCATATTCCCCAAACAGCTTCTCCAAATCCTGCGAACGCGTGCGAAGGCTCAGGTTCGAGACATGCAGATTGTTGCCAGGGTTATGACCATCAAGAGGGCTCTGCGGGCTGTTATGTGCGGTCGTGAGAACCAGCCGTTGGGCTGCTACCGCTGCTGGGATTCCGGACAATGAGACAGTCGAGAATATTGTGGAGGCGGATGCATACCGAGGGGGAAGACCTCTGTCGTCGCCGTTCCTGACGGGCGGAGGGTGCCGGGGAGGTGGAGGGGGCGATTGAGAGCGGGACCTCCTGTGGTGACGGAGGGTGAGTGGCTATTTGCCTACATACACAGGTGGCTGCTTCATTACCCTTGCAACATGTTTTTCAGAACTTCGATGGTGTAGCAATCTACAGCGTTTTAAGCTGAGCGTCAAAAACTGACAGGAATAAAAGGTGGTGATCGTTGCCTGTCGGCGAAACAATCTTCCTGAAACGTGACAAGAGCGGAGGTCCGCGGAAGCATTCAGTTTGGGATGAGTTACCTACTGGAACTGATATAGTGAGGGGCTCCTCAGGGGCTCCTGGTCTTGTCCGACGAACGACGAACGACGAACGACGAAGAAGAGAGAGTTCCCACCCTTTTGACGCGGTGGCATGCACGTGTGGCGAATAGTCAAACACCAGCGGGCGGAGCTCCGACTGATTGATTGACATGCCCGTGGAGTGGATGTTGGCTACTATAGTCTACTTTAGGTACTTTTCAGTGAGCGGTGTATTACCCCTCGTCGTTGCCTTGGATGTTTGGACTTGTCTTTTTGCCATAGCAGGATCCCTAGTATATTCGACATACCTTCCACTACATGTGCATTGAACGAATTTGCAGCGCGCCGGGAAAAAGGCCTTGGGTCTCTGCGGTTTAAAGTGAGGGGTGAGGAGTGAGGAGGTTGTCGTAAGGCCTTTCCAACAGGCATTTGCATGGACCCCTCGGTGCGGGAAACCCCCGCGACACGGCACATTGCGTCCCTTCCATTGCCTCCAACGGCGCGGACGACCGACTTAGATATCATGAGTTCCGGTCTTGCATCGAAAGCTGTGACAGACTAGAGTGAAGCAAGCGACAGCCAAAACAAAACATTACTAGGATGAATGAGAACACGGTCCTTGAGGGATAAACATCGTTGTAGAACATATGTGACATATCCTAGCCCACGTACTGTACCCATCATACATGTAAGTAAGATTGTGTTGAGCTAGGTCCGCATTGGAAAAAAGGAAGGTGTGGAGCGTGTGTTGACAGGTCACGACAGGTGTGTTGGTAGACGGAGGACGGACGGGGGTAGACTGCACAAAAGGAGAGTGGGATGGGATGCACACAAGTGGAAGGAGACACGAAGGGGAGGGGCGAGGGGCAAAGGGGTTGGAGTTTGCTGACTAAGCCGTGTCACGCTGTCGTTTTCGTGCAATTCCCCCAAAGCGGGCTGTAGCAGTGCGCTTCGAACTGCGCATGAAATCGATAATATTTCGACGCCGATTATACGCCTAGAATCTTCGACGAGTGAATGAAATTTCCTTTATATGACAACGTGAAAATACCGTCAAAACTTCCGACAATAAATCGACACACTCACGTTCCTGACACTCCGACAATTACCAAATACAACTACCTTTACCGAAACCTTGCTCCACGACGACGTTTTGTCCTCGGATACGACTGACATGCGAAAAATGTAGGCGTAGGAGAGGATCTCACACATGAAAGCGCCCCTGACCCGACGCTCAACGAACCAGAAGCTCCCACGACGCCCAAAACGCTGAAGAAATCAACTGCGAAACGAGAAAACCAATTTCCGGTGGCCATATACGCGGAACGTTGCAGAAAACCCGGAGAAAAGATTAGCGATAAGACTGTATCAGCGCCAAACTTGCAAATGAAAAAAGGAAAAACTATGTAGACCACCGCAGGAAAAGAGAAAAAGACCCCAACGTAGCTAAATCCTCTAGAGACGACTAGTAGAGAGTTTGGACTTCGACAAAATCCCGTAGCTTAGAAAAATCCATATAAATACCTGACTGTTTTCCCCAGACCTTTTGTAACGTCAGAGGAAAACGTAGACAATATTGGGCCCTTCTGACAGGGCTGAGAGCAGTGTATTGTAGTGAAGTAAAAGGAAGAAGCTCTTCGCAGCGGCCGCTCGACTGACAGCTTTATATATGGGCTGCCAGTGGGGCTTGCGTGGCTTCAATGAAGCTTGGCGCCTTATGTAATGTATCACCGAGAGCTCGGGTGGCCAGCACAGGTCTCGGATCAAGTAGAAGCAAAGAGATATAATGTGAAATACAAGTGAAGATGAGATACCCCCGACACCTCCCTCAGATCCTGAGGAGGGCGCCAAAAAAATAAGCGGTGAACTACGAGGGATATGTGGAGAAAGGGAGAGCTCATGTTCATTTTAAAGTGTTGACGCACTTGTCCATTTTATAGTGTTGAAGCACTGTGTGATGTGTGTGTTTGAGGCAAAGGCGTCCCTAAGCCGACGTCGTGTGTGATGTGTGTGTGTAAGGTCGGTTCTTGCGTCGCCGCGCGTGATGTGATGTAGTTTATGTCGCTATTGTCAGCGATGTGATTGATAGTGAGCGGTTCTTGCGGCGTCGCGCGTGTGATGTGATATGAGATGCTCTATGCTGTTCGTCTCTGTATTCTTCGATTGGTGGAGGAGGTTGTGGAACTGCACGTTGCGGATATTGCTCTTTGCGATGTGGTCGTAAAATATCGACGTGAAAGACGGGCCAGATGCCGCTGATCCTTGATGGTGATAAACCGAGTTCGTAGGTATCAGGATGTGCTCCCAGTGCGATGATTTTGAATGGTCCAATCCACGTAGCTGAGTATCGAAGTCCTCTTCGTGCGTCTACTTCTAAGTTGATTCCTTGTCGATTCAGATCGACGAGGTCGCCAATTTTGTAGGCGATTGGCGTTCGACAAGCATGTTGCTGATCTGCGTATGCATGTCAAGGCGTCGTTGACAATCTACACACCAAGGTGCATAGATTGGATTGCGGGAGAGCATGTCGGCGATATGATTCCATCGTCCAGGTAAATACTGGATGTCGAAATCATACTCTTGTAGCTTCTCCACCCAATTGGCTTGTCTTCTGCTCAAATGGGATTGCGTTTGGATGAATTCGAGTCCCTTGTGATCGCTGAAACATCGGAAGTAGCGACCGATGAGATATGGTCGATTGGCGACCAACATCTTGACAAGAGCTAAAAGCTCCTGTTCGTGCGTAGGATATCGAATTTCTGCGTCCTTCATCCTTCTAGAAAAGAAGACTACAGGCCGGAGCCGCGGTAACTTGTTCCATTGTCCAACGAGAGTAGGCAGATTCGTAGGGATCGTTTCATCGCCAGAAGGTTGTCCAATCCAGCCAGCGATAGCGTAGCCTGATGAGTCAGTATAAACGTAAATCGGCTTGGTTTCATCAATTGTTGCTAGCGTAGGCGCATTGATCAACGCTTGTTTCAACTTTTGAAATGCCTCTTGTTGCTCAGGACCCCATGGAAATTTGACTTTCGAAGATTGAATACTTGATAGGGGCAGAGCGATGTCCGAATAACCTTGTATGAAGTTGAGGAAGTAGTTCGTGAACCCGAGAAAGCTTTGAACTCCTTTTGTTGACTTTGGAGTAGCCCAGTCCTTGATAGCTTGAATTTTCGAGGGCGCGATGCGAACACCATGTCTTCCGACAATATGTCCACACCATTCGAGTTCTTCTTTAGCCCAAAAGCACTTTGAAGGCTTGATGAAAAGGGCATGTTCTTCAAGTTTCTTCAGGATACGATCGACGTGTTCCCGATGTTCGGCTAAGGTCTTCGAGAAAATGAAAATGTCGTCCAAGTAGGTAGCGAGGAATTCGTCGTAATCTTTATGGAAGATTTTATTCATAAGACGTTGAAATGCAGCAGGTGAGTTGGTAAGCATGAACGGCATGACCAAATACTCGAAATGTCGGAAGCAAGTTCATATTGCCGTCTTTTGTTGATCTTGTTTTTGTATAAGAAGACGATGGTATGCTTCTTGAATATCGATAAGCGTAAACCATTTACAACCATGAGTCCGATCCCTCATCTCACGAATATTGGGTAAAGGAGTGCGATCTTTCTTGGTGACGGCGTTGAGACCTCGGTAGTCCCAACAGATGCGTAATCCGCCATCTTTCTTTTTCGCAAAGACGACACTAGCTCCCCAGGGACTTGAGCAGTGTTTTCTCCATCCTTTTTCGAGCATTGAGGTGATTTGTTTCTTGAGTTCAGCGAGTTCTTCTTTGTTCATGTGCCGAAGAGGTTGCCAAACGGGTTCAGCACCTTCAGTGAGTTCGATCTTGAAATTATCTTCTCTGCGAGCAGGGGGTAGACCTTCCGGTTCCTTGAAGAGCGTATTGACGTATTTATTTAGGATATCCTTGAGATCTTCTGGATTTCGTTTAAGCTCTTGAGGAGCGTCCGGTATTTTGGTAAGAGCAAGGCATTAGACTGTGTCTTTTTCAAAGTTGTTCCGTCGCCAAGCCTTATTGAATCGCTTGGAAGTCATTTCTATGACTTGAGGATTAGGAAGGGCATTGGCTTGAGCGAACCGAGGTACATAATGAGGTGCGGCTTGTAGAGGACGAGTATCCACAGGTTTCATGATCCGAACAGGTCGAACGGGTCTTTTGTCATAGACCGGATCTCGTTGTACATCGAAGTAAGGGTTGTTGTGTTTCGGGATGTATTCAACAGCTTCCCAGTTTCTTGAAGTTCTTTCGCATTTGATGGTGACAGACTGCGGTGCGTTTGGTATAGGGCCGTACTTGGTCCAGCAAAGGATAGGTAAGGTACTCATCGAGAATTGTTCAGCGTAATTAAAGAAACGCCAGGAAGGCATTCCAATAATAGCGTCGTAAGCCAGATTACTGACTAGCCAGGGAAGTTGTCCAACTAAGAAAAGCGACTGAGATTGGAGATCCCATAGATTTAACTTTTCCGAAACGACCGTGTCGAGAATCATGTATGATACTTTGTCGGCCAGCCATATCTGCTTCAGTTCGATACGTTTCTTGGGAA